GGTAGGATCCTCTTAGCTCTTAAAGCCATCAAAAACCATGAAGTCTCTTCTATTCGTGAAGCTACGCGCCGTTTTGATGTGCCCTTTGGCACGTTATATAGCCGGCTTCGCGGTCAGCAATACCGACAAGAATCACGCGCAAATGGTCATAAATTGACCCAGTTCGAAGAAGAATCGCTTATTGAATGGATACTATCTATGGATCTACGTGGAAATCCTCCCCGGCCAAGCCTGGCTAAAGATATGGCCAACTTACTACTCGCAAGCCGTGGACCTACACCTCCTCCGACCGTTGGCATTAATTGGGTCCCAAACTTCATCAAACGTCATGCAGACACGATCGCGAGTCGCTTTAGTCGTCGATACGACTACCAAAGGGCACAATGCGAAGACCCAGCTGTCATTGGCGAGTGGTTCGACTCTGTACAGCGAGTTATAGCCAAGTACGGCATCGCCAACGAGGATATCTTCAATTTTGATGAGACTGGCTTCGCAATGGGCCTAACTGCGACCGCTAAAGTAATCACTCGTGCCGAATATTATGGGAAACGATCGATGCTACAACCTGGGAATCGTGAGTGGGTGACTGCTGTGGAATCAATCAACGCCGCTGGTTGGCACCTTCCACCGTATATCATCTTTAAGGGCAAAGTCTTCATCGAATCGTGGTTTGATGACCTTCCGGATGGCTGGAAAATCGACAAAAGCGCAAATGGATGGACTACTGACGATATTGGCCTTAACTGGCTTAAGAATCACTTTATTCCATACACTAAAGGCCGCTCGAAGGGCAAATATCGACTACTAGTCCTTGATGGACACGGCAGTCATTTAACGGCTCAATTCGATCAAATCTGCACGGAACACGATATTATACCAATTTGCATGCCAGCGCATTCTTCGCATTTACTCCAGCCACTTGACGTGGCTTGCTTTGCCCCCCTAAAGCGTGCATATGGTGAGCTTGTCGAAAGCCTAACTCGGAATGGCATCAACCATATCGACAAGCTTGACTTCCTTTCGGCATATCCTGAGGCCCGTCTACGAGCATTTAAAGATACCACTATACAAAGTGGCTTCAAAGCAACAGGATTAGTGCCATTTGATCGTACTCAAGTCCTTTCGAAGATCAATATTCGGCTAAAAACTCCAACACCACCCCGAAGTCGTGGAAGCAACAGTTCAGCCGATTTTATGCCTATAACACCACACAACTCTAAGCAGCTACATCGGCAGGCATCTTCGGTTAAGGCACTACTTAAATATCGATCTCAAAGCCCTCCTACCCCCACCAAAGCGGCCATTGATCAACTGATTAAGGGCTGCCATATGGCTATGCATAGCGCAGTGCTTTTAGCCGAAGAAAACCGGGCCTTACGTGCTGCAAATACAAAGAAAAAGCAAAAGCGATCAAGATCCACTCGTCAAATAGCTCATGATACAGCATTAGGTGCTACAGAGGCGCGTGCGTTGATACAGGCCAGCCAACAGCCAGCTGAAGCCGAAGCTACAACCTCCGTGGAGATCGCAAATCAGGCCAGTACGCAACGAACTCGGGCTCCACCAAGATGCAGTGGATGTGGAGTGATAGGGCATAAGATAAATAGATGTCCGAAGCAGTAGCTATTAATTTAATTGCGTTGTGGTGGTAATATATGCAAATCAAAATTATGACTGTAGTTGGCTGATCGACTCGCTTGTGTGATCGACTCGCTTGTGAATTACGTTAACGTAATTCACCACCGAGCTGACCGCACCACCGAGCTGACCGCTTACCCACTTTTTCGCGTCCAGACGCGTCGTTCTATGTTTAACCATCCACCATGCCACCAAATCGCTCTCGATCAAGCCGAAATTCCATTGAACAAGAGGGTCGTATCCTCCTAGCTATTCAGGCTATTAAAAATGGAGATAAATCACCAATTCGTGTACTGGCACGGACTTATTCAGTCCCATACTCTACGCTTCGAACACGACTTCGCGGCACCCTAAATCGCGCCGAATCTCGCGCCAATGGCCATAAATTGACAGAAATCGAAGAGGGTTCGCTTCTTAAGTGGATTATCTCAATGGATACTCGCGGTGGAGCACCTAGACCGTCGACGGTGCGAGAAATGGCTGATTTACTACTCGCGAAGCGTGGTTCAACTAATATCGAAGTCGTTGGCCCAAATTGGGTTACAAAATTTATTAAACGGCATCCTGAGCAGCTAAAATCGCGCTTCTCACGACGATACGACTATCAACGCGCAACGCAAGAGGAACCAAGAGTTATCCAGCAGTGGTTCGACACCGTACAAGCTACAATTCAGCAATATGGTATCGTTGACGAAGATATCTATAATTTTGACGAGACTGGCTTCGCGATGGGCCTTACTGCGACCGCAAAAGTCATTACGCGGGCGGAATACTACGGTCGGCGCTCGCTTTTACAGCCCGGAAATCGCGAGTGGGTTACCGTAATCGAATCAATCAACGCAAGCGGGTGGACGCTTCCACCAACAATCATCTTTAAAGCTAAGCTATACCATTATGCTTGGTTCGACAATCTTCCAGGAGACTGGCGCTTTGAAGTAAGCGCAAATGGGTGGACGACAGATGAAATTGGGCTTCGATGGCTACAAAAATGCTTTATTCCAGCGACAAATAATCGCATAAAAGGCAAATATCGACTTCTTATCCTTGACGGTCACGGTAGTCATTTGACACCACAATTCGACGAAATCTGTGCTCAAAACAATATTATATCGATTTGTATGCCACCGCATTCATCACACCTACTTCAACCACTTGATATTGGTTGTTTTGCATCGCTTAAACGCGCGTACGGTAAGCTCGTCGAGCGTCAGATGCGTCTTGGTATCAACCATATCGACAAGCTTGATTTCCTCGAAGCATATCCACTCGCGCGCATTGAAACATTTAAATCAGTTACGATTCAAAATAGCTTCGCAGCAGCTGGTTTAGTGCCATTAGATGCCAACCGAGTGATATCAAAGCTAAATATTCGGCTTCGTACACCTACACCCCCTCGGAGCCGACCAAGCAGTCGATCTAGCGCTTTTAGCCCAAAAACCCCAAAAACAAGCATTCAAGCACGTCGTCAAGCTTCATCAATCAAAGCTTTTCTTCGTCGACGGTCGCAAAGCCCATCACTTCGAGCATATCAAGCAATTGACCAGCTAGAGAAAGGGTTCCATAACGTCCGTCAAGAGCTTATAATTCTCACGAAGGAAATCCAGGATTTACGCTCAGAGAACGAGAAAAAGAAGCAAAAAAGGGCACGTACGCAGAGACGAGAAGCACATCCCACAGGCCTATCAGTCCAAGAGGCCCAAGAGCTCTCACAACCTATTGAGCAGCCTATTCCTTTGGTTCAGCCCGTTCTGCCCAACCCAGTTCAACCGGTTCAAACTACAGCAGCACCCCTACAAAAGCGTCGATTTACCTGCTCTATATGTGGTGAGATAGGGCATAAGTCAAATAAATGTTCAGTTAGATAGTTTTATTAATATTACGGCGTTTTGGTTGATAAATACGCTATTAAATAGGAAGAGGGCGGGTGAGCGGTCAGCTCGGTGGTGCGGTCAGCTCGGTGGTGAATTACGTTACGTTAAGTGGATTATGTAATAACTGGGTATGTCAATACTGGAAGTTGACTGTATCCGGGGATCAGGTTCAAACTGGAGGTCCTTCATCTCGATTTCCTGTAGATGAAGGCCTTCGCGCGTTCGCAATCGGGATAATTGTACGTACGTCGAGCAGAACTTTTGGTGACGGTCTCGATCACGTATCGCCGGGTCATCCTTCAGATCTAGAATCGCCGAGTCAAGCGTAGAGCCCTGCACTTTATAATCGGTGAGGCAGAATGTGTTGTAATTCAAAGGAAGATTGCTTGTATTCCTTCTGGACAGAAAACTTGAGGGTTTATATACACATGCGACCTCCAGATTGATTTCCAATCAAAGCTGGTAATTCCGTGAGGTTAGGAATTGATTCCGTTACGGTACGACATATCACAACAGAATGCCGGGCACATGGGGACTTGTTTCCTGCGGACAGAGTAGCATTTCACAGTGATCGACCTCTCTAAGGGGAAGACAGGAACGATAGCAGGCGCAAGGCCTTCGAACGCAGCGGCGCTTGACTTGTTCTGTTTGAACAAAACACACGCAGGAGGCTTGGTGCAAAGGATATACAAATCGTCAATCTCATAGAACTCAGCTAAGATAGTTTAATATTGAATTTGTCGTCTACGCGCGAAGGAGGACGACTCACCAGCTGGCTGCTTATTCGACACGGCTGGCGCAGGGACCAGGATAAACAAGACGCGTTTTTTGTATGTCTGAGGGCGGTCGTGTCGATCGAATTTTGGACATAATAGACCCACCTATATTGGCAATCTGGCTTTTCTTTTGCCTGAATCATGTCGGGCTATCGCGATCCACGACCTTCACTTCCTCGCAAATTCGGAGGTTCTGACATCGAAATTGAGCTTCGGCATCATGAAGGGCCACACAAGGGACAAAAACACAACTATCGCGACAGTGACCGGCGAAGGCCCTTGTTTCCCAAGGGAAAAGGCATGTATCCATTGTGAGGGTTCGTTGGAGGATGTTGCGCATGACTGGAAACCGTGACTCATGCGTTGGGGACGCTCTTGCAAATTGAAGCTCGTATCCTTTCCAGTAGCATTGCTTTTCATTCAAATTTCCCAAGATCAGCCGGTTTTTGTCTGACAGTAGATCCATTTCCTGACGGCAGTGATGAGGCTCATCAGCTCTCGGTGGGCGGCGATGGCTTGGTGGCGGGCCGGATGGGAATACCTTCACATCTGGGCAAGATCCGTTCATAACATGAGACCACATGGGCGAACAAGAATACCCCGCGTGTACAACTGATCACATAAAATTTGATCATATGTAGAGGGACGTTATCGCATACGGTACAGGGAACTTTTTGTGTGTATTTTAATACAAAATAGCGATCACGCACTAACCCTACACCAGAATGGATTCATCGCACCACCAATTTTTAAAAGCTTCCAGCCGTTCTGTACGGCTCTTTGCCATCGCCAATCCAACATCTGTTTTCATCATCTTTGCCACATGCAAGAGCTTCTCATCGAAATGTGCGACGGAGTCGTCTAGCGACCTGGTGGTCTTCGCGCCTCCGTATGTGAAGCAACGGCCAATGCCTATGGCGCCAATAGCATCCAAACGGTCGGCGTCTTGGACGACCGCCAATTCAGGGTATTTTTGGAGTAGTTCTTGCACTTTTAACGGATCCTTCACCTCAGTGCGATAACTGACTCCCTCACAGATAGATTGAATTTCCCACGCGTAGGATCGCTCTGCGCCCCAATCCACAAGCAAGTTCGTGATGAGAGAAGCTGAGGTTTGACTGGGTACCAGATACTTTGTGTCCGTGACATCATGAAGAAGCGCGGAGAGTGTGATTGTGCGAAGGCTTAATGGATATCCGTGCTGTGAATTCGCTGTCATGGTGTGATAAATTCTGTGTGCAAGGGCCATGACACGGAGAATATGCTGCCAGTCATGCGAAGCATCGAATCTGCTCATGTAGTCCTTGACGTATATGGCAGCTTTATTCACCAGCGGATCCTGTGAGAACAGATCTAATGGCTTCATGTTCTTGGTACTTTGGTTCAAATCTGACATCTTGAGACAGTCGATGAGTTCAATCGTGATTCTGGAATAATTCGGAGCGCCTGGAAAGTATTTCGCGAAATTCGTCTGGCACAGCAGTCTCACCAAAATAAAGGAGCAAAGCCGGCACTCAGTTCCTCGAAAAAGTTACTGCCTACATTTCATGGACAATCGCTGACCACATCTGTGCCGTTTTCCGTAGGGGCTTGCGAGGTCCGATTCCGCGGCAACGCGCCACACCACCTTGTTATGAGTTACCGAGGGCAGCGCACAGACTGGCGCCAGAGCGCAATTTTTAAACCATCATCGAACCGTAATGATGTGTATCAGGGAGCGAGATTGCACAAACGGTTTGCGTCCTGTCAGAGATACGGTGTGGGTACCAGCTGTCGCGACCAGTTGTCTGTTAGACACGAAGTGACGAATAATGCACAGACGAATGCAGCAAGAAAGACGTTCAACTGGTTCGGGACTCGTCATCTCCTCTTGTCCATGATGTTGTTGTTCTTGTTTATCTTTTTGTTCCTTCTTGGTGCAACGATCAGGGAAGGGGCCGCGAGTTTGCGACACGCACATTTGGCGGCAGATTCATCCGGGGACGCCGATTATCACTAATATTCAGCGGGACCCGCATTGGCTGATCGATGTCACCAGTCCACAAGGCCACGCCCTTCGGCAGTTCTAATAACCAACTCGGGCGATCGGCTTCAGAATTAGTCCGAGGACGAGGGCGGTTGATCAGCTATCACGGCAATGCGTCCAGGCACCCCGTCGGTCCACCATCTGTATTTTGCAGGCTCTCCCAATGCTCTCCAGATGCCAATCAGAATGGCCGAGGAGGCTGGGAACTGATCAGCACCGATCAGGATCGGTTCAGGCCACCAAGAAAGTGATGTTGGGACTGGGACTTGAGCAGGAAGGAGGGGGAGAGGGAAAGTTGAGCCGAGGGGCCACGTCAGCGCTTCAGGGGTATTCAGGGTGTTCGGGTGAAGAATAGAGGGGCTTCAGGGCGTTCAGGTGGAGCAGGCCGGACAAATCGGTTCGCAAATTCTGCGCTGCCTCAAAAAGTTTGAACTTCCTCTCATGGTTGACGAGTTCTTCTCGTGTGGGAAAAGGATAAGGACATTGACCTTCAAAGCCTAGCTCCTTCCAAAGCCGAGCAGTTTCGATCATTTCATGGCGTAAGGCTACTGCACCATCCTTCCATTTCCTATAACAATAACGAAATAGTCGAAAGAGGCTGTCATCCATCAGCCTTGGCCCTGAGAGTTTGGGCGTTAAGAACCGTGAAGGGAGTTAAACGCCATTTGCATGCTCCATAATGATGTATTCGCTGCCGACAGTATTTTTAATATCACTTGGTTCATCAGGATGTCCAGCCCAGTAACCAAAATACGCGAAAGTTTCTTACTTATTTAGGTTAGTATCCCCCGATATACCAGCACGAAATAAAGGCTCAAAATCACATCTCGCCACTTTGCTTTCTAAGCTTTCCCCTTTTCCCGTGGTGCTCGTTTTCAGGGCCGAAGCGCGACAGCACGCGTCATCCAGTAACCCCTTTTCACATGACTGCCATGTCCCAATTAGGCATACATTGTAACTGACACCACGCAAGATCCCAAAATCCCGATGGTTTCCCGACGACCCCAACGTCAGTAGCTAATTCTGGCAATTTGCCCATTGGGCCCTGAGACCCACTACTCGCGATAAGCCCCCAAATCTGGAAGTCTAGGGTACGATGAATACGGACAATTTGAGGTACAAAGTGCCCATTTAGTGGAGGAACACCGTGAGACGAATTGTCCGATCCTGTGGAGTTAAGGAAGCAATCTTCCTTCGAGGTATTTATAAGTGCCTCCGTTCCTCAACTGCTGACAAAATCTCCGAAACGTGTCTGTCCGATTGCGAAGTTTAGTACGAGTAGATATGGCATCTAGTCCCCCTTTCCATGAGCTTTCGGGTCAAGAACTCGAAGCTATCTTCACAAAAGCAAATATTGCGAAAGAGGCTGCATTCTGTAAGTAATCAGCTACTTTCGGAGCTCGACAAAAGCAAAACCAACAATCTGAAGTCTACTCTCTAATAACCAACTAGGCCCCTACTCCAAATTTCGTGTTGGAGCATGCGTCCTTACCAAAACTAGACAGTACAGTCAACTCTCATGGGCTGCACACCCTCCGGGGCATGGGTTTTATCTTGCACACACTCAATGTGTGCAGCTCATGAGAGGATCATAGCCCGATTATGTAATATATACATGAAGCTTTTCCTATTTGGGTTTAAATCCATCTCCATCAGCGTCTTCTGTCTCTTCCCATCTACCTCAAGCTTCTTGAAGGCTTTGGTTAAAGCCTCAATTGACGACATATGCTCCTCTGTGCACCCCTCTCTATGTGCAGCCCATAGTGATAGATCTGATAGGTGTCGTAGGATTACCGTGTCGGACGGAACCTCTGGTCTTGGCCCAAATATATATTCCTCGTCAAGATCAGGTAGATCATCGCCGATATCCTCACCAACGAAGTTGATGACAATGTCGTCCAACTCTGGCTCCGCGGTATCAACATTTTCATCTGATGGGTTGAGAAACTCATCGAATGGTAATATTTCATCTGCATCTGGTTGAAACGCAAGCTTTTCAACAACCTGATTATAAAGAGGCTTTAATTCAGGATCTAGTAGGTTACTTCCTATCTGGTCTTGATCAGCCTGATCTTGACTAGATAGTCGGCACCCAGGAAGAACAGTACGCTTGATGTAACAGTTCTGAATAGTCTCGTTGCTGACCCTTGTTCGCCACACTTGCGTTAACCACCGTAGCGTGTAGTTCAGACTCATACGTTCACGTGGATCGATGCCACGATCTAGCATACTTATCATCCAATACATCCAGCTCTTGCGATAGTAATGCTTGAGTTTTTGGATAATACCCTGATCTAGGGGCTGGTAGATAGATGTAGCCTTCGCTGGAAAGAAGACTATCCGGATATTAGACGGCGGTGGCGCCTTTTTAAGGGCTATACGATGTGCACTGAAATTATCCATCAATAGAAGTACACGTTTCTGTCTACCGATCCGTAGATAAAAAGCGCGTAACCATTGTTCCATAATTTCGTGTCGCATCCAAGCCTTCTTATTATAGCGCCACTTACATCCAATAGAAGCCAGATTCATACCCCTTAATGCGTGAGGTGTCTTTGCAGTTCCAATGATCCAGAGAGGCAATCGATCCGAATCGGTCGCATTTGATGCGACGACGACAGTTATCCTCGTCTTGTCTCTTTTCTGGCCAGGACGACCTTCAGATGTAAGCCCACCATTAGGCATACGACGCCAGTAAAGGCCAGTCTCATCCATATTATAGATATCCTCAGGCGCATATTCATCGCAGATGACCTGGATCGCTTTCGTCTCATGATGTATCGAGTCCGGCACCGAGGCAGCCTCACCATGAAAGGTATGCCATCTAATAGAATATCGACGTTTAAAGCCAGTTAACCAGCCGTCGCTGAATAGAGGCATAGTCTGATCTTTGTACATCGGCATCTTCTTCCAATATTCTGCAGCCTTAAGACGAATCAAGGGCCCAGTTATAGGAAACCCCTTCTCTGCGTGTCGTTGTTGCCACTGGAATAAAGCCTCATCCAACAGCGGCCAGTGTGCAGTAGACCTCCTCGAGTTAGTTCTAGCTTCGCCGTTATCCAGGTAGCTATACTGAGATGAAAGGGTTCGAGAAACTTTCGTGCGATCGATTATTCGGCCAAATTTCGCATGAAACCATGCAGCACAAGCTTTCTGGGTAGGCTTGGGACGTGTCTCAGACGCAAAGATACGCAGGGCTTTCCTCTGAGCATCAGATATAGTCGCATTTGATCGTTTTGGATAGGGTAGTTTCGCTGAAAGGGTTACCGAAGATCGCACCGAAGGAGCAGGGGGGAGCGATGGCGACGGCGAGGTAGAATCATGCATTGTGATTGGCCAGATATGATGAGTAAGCGAATATAGGAGGAATGAAAAGTGTGCAGACCATGAATGGTGCAGCCCACGAGAGTTTTATATGTAAAAGTGGGGCAAAACTAGTCCTGGCAGGAAAAAAGTGTGTAGCTGACAAATGTGTGCAACTCACGGGCGTGCAGCCCACGGGAGTTGACTGTATATGCGTACTGTTATCCTACTGACCTGCCTGGAATTGAACTTGCTCAATATTTAACCAGTGGTTCTTGGCAGAATTGAAATCTGGAAGAAGAATGACAAGCTGTGAACATCATTTAAGAAAGACAATGGTTATCAAAGAAATATGTCTCCAAACAAGATAGACTAAATGAAAGGTCCAGTAGGAGGGCCAACCGGTACACTGGAGAAGGGTAGGGTATTTCAAAGGACTGACCATTTGATGGATTAAGTGTAAGTTAAGCAGGGGCTTCTCCAGCAAAGTCGCCAAGCCAGCAGGCTTTCTTGTCTCTTCTTTCATGATGAAGCCATCGTCAATGTTTCTGATTTCATTGGGACAGTTCCAAACAGATCTTGAGAGTTTATTCTTGAAAGGAGAAGTAAAACTGCCACAGTGGTCCTTTCTGCGAAAATTGCATCATGGCGAACCTGCTTCCAGTCAAGCAATGACTCACACGGTCGTTGGCTCTTCATTTGCCAAGGTTTTGTGAAACCAGAGAACTTCACGAAGCAATATGAGTCTGATGACGCAAGATTCTTTTTCGTCCAACTGGAAGATTTCCAAACATGTTGAAGATGTGGACAACAGAGCGTTTCGAAGCTGATGGTCTGATTTTAACATGGAGAACACAACCTGTTGGTATCACCAGCTAGGTACTGTGTACACAGTTAAGTGGACAGTGTGTATGCTCCAAAGCAAAAGTCAATTGTGTTCATAGATGTAGTTGTTCAGTCTAGTTGGAAAAACACCCCTAGATCCCACACGCCGGCCTTCGGCGGTCACAACACCGAGGCCACAGCCCAGCGCAAGAATGTGTACACCAAGCAAGGGATGTTATCCATCGGTCGCTAGCAGTGGGTCACAGCCAGTTTGTTCCGACAGGAGAATATATCCCGACACAACCAATGAAGCCTGATGCCACAGTCACTGGAGGAGCGAGATCACAGCCTACTCAAGAAAGGACTTAAGTTTTGGTGGATCTTGTTCCACACAATGTATGTGGCATATGTTGACATGGTTGTCGTGGATAATTATGGGATAATTGCGGCCAATTAAATTCAGTTCCACAAATTGGGGTTTCTTGGCGACAATGCTTGAGCAAAGCTTATTAGAAACCTCGTATTTAGAGTTGTGCCTTGGCTTTTGACCACCCACTGCAGTTGCTCATGCAATCCAACCAACCAAGAGCATGCTATTCCTGATTGAATTTTATTTCTGAGCACTTGCGCCATCCTGGACTCCATCGGGATTGACGCCACTGTTTTGATTTTACGTGGTCGACGAGATCCTACTCGCCGCCTGGGACATTTGCTTCCGCCAACGACAAGAGGAACGATTGGAGAAGGGAAACCAACGATGATATGTTCAGATTACCAAAAGTCTTCCCCAGCTCGTAAATAGGCTTTGGAACACCCTATCCGTTGCCAAGGCCCTAAATTGTTTCAGGACATATCACCTGCTGAAACTGGAATGGAATGGCTCGGCTCCCACCGCTCAATCCTTCGGTAACACCCTGAACCGGAGCTGGAATGCTTGAATCAATGATGGAGACAAAGCCAACAAGTATCCAGACTTTTCTTTCTTCCCTCTTCTTATTTTGTCAACGAGTTCTAACCCCCATTCAAGACTACAAAAGATGAAAGACACCATGGCCTCCAGTGACTACAGCAATCTCCCCAGCTTCGACGATCTCCCACCAGTCAGGGGCATGCCCCAGGGCTGCGCCTGGGGACTCTTCGACAAAGATGGAGAAAAGGATTACCTAGGCTGCCTCAACCTCCTCACCCCGGCTGTCGTCCAAGCAGCCCTAAAAGAAGCGCGCGATGGTCAATCAGTTTCACTCAACTGGCCCATCAATGCCATCCATACGCCCGGCTTCATGCGCGCAGGGCTCTCACACAACGTGCTTTCATTCCAGGACAGCCCATTCAAGATCCACGGTTTTGACGACGAGGTACACTTCAACACACAATGCTCGAGCCAGTGGGACAGTCTCGTCCACTTTGCCCATCAGACCTCGGGCCTCAGCTACAACGGCGTCAAGCCTACCAAGGAGAGCCTTCACCAGGTTGACACCCCGTTTCATAAGGATCGCAACCTGCCCACACTCAATCACTGGCACTCACGGGGTGGTCTTGTTGGACGCGGGGTTTTGATCGACTACAAAGCATACGCAGACGCACACGGAATCAAATACTCAGCATTCGACTCCCACAAGATCACGACAGAGGATATTGAGGCGGTGGCTAAATGGGAAGGAGTTGAATTTCGGCAGGGCGACATTCTGATCATCCGGTCTGGGTTTACACTGGGCTTCGAGGAGGCGGGCACTCCTGAGAACCAGGCGGAGCTGATGGAGAAGCACCGCGCGGTTGGAATGGAAGGGAATGCGAAGTCGGCAAAGTGGGTTTGGAACCACCACTTTTCAGCTGTTGCTGGTGATACTATTGCGTTTGAGCAACTTCCGCCCATCCGGGAGGAAGATGGGAAGGAGGGCACGATTGGCGAGTTGCGTGAGTGTTATGATTCCCGCCCAACCTGCACTCTGCTACATGACGACGAGATTGTTTTCCCGCCCAAACATGCACCGTTTGCATTGATCTTCATGTCCTGATTATTTCTACTGCTGATACTGACGAGCCTTTCTTCATAGTCTTGCATCAATACTTCCTGGGATTATTCGGCCTCAACATTGGCGAGCTTTGGGATCTCGAGGCGCTGTCCCAAGCCTGCGCGCAGAAAAAGAGATACTCTTTCCTCCTTACAAGCTGTCCCCTTAATGTCCCTGGCAGTGTGGGTAGTCCTCCCAATGCCCTCGCCATCTTCTAGTGATGTTGGTACCAAAGATAGTGTCGAGGATAGTGGGGTAGCACCCGAAATAGTTTAGTTCCGTTTGTGTCGTGATATCTTCTTCATTTGTACTAGGGGATTCTCGACACTCCGAGATCGGGAGGTTCAACGCCTCACCCTACTCATGTAAGCAAGGACACCCTAACGTGTCCTCGCAGCATACGTTCTTTTCTTCTTTTCTTCAATCAATTCATCCTATCTTTTTGGATTGGTTCCCCTCGGTAGATTAGCCCCATTCTTGCATACAATGCCATACTGTATCAGCTAGCTGCGACAACCCATAAATAGTGAGAAATAGGGGTAATAGAAATACACAGTCATTTACTGTACTGTTGTGATATGAGGCTGGTGCAGATCAGGAACCAAGCCGAACTATCGGAATTAATCCCGAGATATCTGTACGAAGAACCAAGTTGATTGGAAATCAACTTGCTCTTCTCGTTGTATATATATGGCCTAATGTTTCCCTATGAACAATAAGACAATTCGTACCTCCGAAGTACAACATGTACATCTCCAATTGTCCGGATACAGCACGGATCGTGACAGCATCCACACATGAATCGCCACACCATGACAGTCACCCTCAAGATCGGTCTGGGCCGTGAGGCTAGAACTGTCCCTCACTCAGTCCAGGTCGCAGTTCGCGACTAGTGGACTATGTTCTGGGTCATGGCGAAGTCAACTTTGCACAATGCCGCCTCAATAGGAAGGAAAAATACCTATTTCGGTGTCGAGGGTCACCCTGGGGCCTGGGTCACATGACCACCAACATAGGCAAAAAAGACCACTCTCTCCGTGCTCAGTGGACATGACTTGACCTCGACAGGATTCCCGATTCTCCAGGTCTGGTCCGGTTCCACAACTGCCAAGACCCGGTTCAGGTTCTGGGTCTTTGGAACCATGATTCTCCACTTGGGTTCTTGGGACCGATCCTGCAGGTTCCTTAAGACTCAAACACGGCAAACTAGGGAAGCCTCAGCCGCCCTTTCCATCACCGCAGGGCAGCTGTTGAACTATCTTGGCGCCATATTGTGATGTGACGACGTGCAGCTGCCACATGCGGGATGTCTGACTGGGAAAAAAACGAACCATAGTTGATGGAGTCTGGGCTGAAGCACAGCTACGCAAGGAAGCAGGAAAAGACGGAATGGCGAGAGCAAGTCAAGAAATCTTGAATCTCGTGAAGCTCTTGAAACACTTGAATGTCTGAAGAACTACCTGAAAGGAAAGAATCATCATCCTCTTATGGTCTCTCAGGACCATATGAATAAGAATCTCCTAGAAGGAGAACAACACATCACCGACGGAATTTTACGGTCGGAAAGCTGCAAGACACATCAGAGGGAAACAAAACAGAGCAGGAGAGAACGGAAGGAAGCATCTGCAACAAGAACTCGGGTCCTGACGGGAAGGAACATCGAAGCTAAGACATCTGCAAGACCCAACGATATACTATACTGCGGCCTGAAACAAAATCCCCCCCAGCATACATGTATGTACGTACGAGCTGTCTAAGGGGAACATCAAAACGCGTCTGCCTAGTGGGACGATGGGTAGCACAGGATGCACGTCTTGTTACTGTTCCATTCTATGTACTCGCCGGGACTTTTGATTTTTTAAAGGTGAACAGAGGCTCCTCGCTAATAATACTCGAGATTCATACTTACACTTATAATCGTACACTCACGCTTAATTCTCTTCGTCGGCTTCTTGCGCAGTCCGCTTGCGAGGTGCTTCCTTGCCAGCGAAGCTGGCCAACATGCCCAGGTCGTAGACGACCTTCAAGCATCCGGCGATCATGAAGGAGACACCGAAGAAGCCGTTGCGTGCCAAGATACCTGTTAGCAGGGGTCCCATACTTTGACTGGTTGTCTTGACAACGTTAACGGCTCCCATAATGGCTGTGCGCTTGTTTGCTGGTAGGGCTGCCGCTAGGAATGCGGAGCGGGGTGCTACGTCCATGCTCTGGGAGCTAGCTCGTAGGACGAGGAAAGTTAGGGCCAATGGGAGGCTGGATGGGACGGATATCAGGGCCAGGCAGACGGCTGAGGGGAGGTGAGTGAAGACCATGGTCTGTAATAGTTAGCAATTGATCCGCGAAGACTGCTAGTATGAATAGCTCACCTTGACATTTCCAATGCGCTTGGCGAGAGATGATGCGACCAGCATGGAGGCTGCGGAGATGATGTTCGTGGTGAAGAAGATCGTTCCCAGTTCACCCTCGGGGAGGGAGAACTTGCGCTTGAAGAAGTATGTCACCCAAGATCTGTAGGGGTCAGCTTGTGTCAATGAATCGGAATCAGAATACTCACAGAGAAGCCAGTCCAGAGGCGAACGCGTCTAAACCGAACAAGATGAACAGTCGAATAACGAGCGACCACAGACCCTTTTCAATAGATGCAAACAAGCCCTTCTTCTTGGGTGCCTCCTGTTCCTGTTCTGGGTTTGGATCCAGCAGTGCACGAGTTTCACCATTCTCCAGAGTCTCCTCCTTCTGAACCTCGACCTTGCCACTCAAACTCAGAGTAAGAATCAACTTGACGATACCAACACCGGCATAGACGGAGAAGATAATCCGAGACGAACGAATGAACTCCCACCCGTGAATGGACTCCAAAGAATTGATAATCCAGCCACAGACCAGCATACCCAACGCCGAACCAGCAGTCCCAATAAGCGAATACCAAGCAAAAACATCACTAAGCAACTCATGAGGCGTAAGATGCGCCAAAGTCGATTCCTCCACAGCGCGGAAAGGACCAATTTCATTCCCACTGCCGAGAATTAGCACCTCACCATCAATCAGATCAGTAAAAAAGAGCCCAACCACTCACCTCGGACTAATAACACCAAAAACCGCCGCAGCCAAAAGAGCCCAATAATTCCCAAAGAACCCAAAAACCAGCCCACTCCCAACCATCAACGCCGATCCAAGCGACAACACCGCCTTGCGGCCCATCGCATCGGCAAATAGCGTGAGGAAGAAGCTAATCACCACATCGCCGACCAGCGTCAACGTCATAAATAATCCAATGCGATCATCCGAGATGCCAATGGCGGATAGGTATGACGCAAGGATGAGTGTTGAGCCGCCGTATGCGAATAGTCGGACGAAACGTTGAGCGCAGAGGAGTTTGACATCCAATGTGGAGTGCCACATTGTTAGGAGGCCTAGCTCATTGAATGCGTTGGTTAGGTATGGCATTTTGGTAGTGAGGTGCGAAGGTGGGGGAAGAAGAGGAAAGAAAAGACTTGGTGTTCAAGAATATTTTATGATAAGGGGAGACCCACACAAAAGCCCACTCTTCCATCATTTTTCAAGAGGGGGGTTCAATAACTGATTCTGCTGATTGAAATTTTGCTGATTCAGCGTTTTGGTGGTCCACTTGCTTGCTGATTGCCGTAGGGGGTGGCCTGGTTCTTTTGAGGGGAAAGGTTGCGGGTCGAGGGGCGGTTCGTGGTTCAAAAATTTCGAACCGCCCCGCCCCATCTCGAGGCCTTGTGTTATGCCAGTCCATATCTTACAATTGAGGGAAAGTCTATTTACGAGCCTGTTTGTGGGGCATCTGTGCCTTTCAACCAGCCCACATCGTCCCATTGTGGGTGCGCCACAGCGAATTTGCCAAGTACCTGCTATATGGCGTCGCCATATAAAAGTACATATAGATTACTTGATCTTGGTACATAGATATTTACTTTTTCTGGATTATTATTACTCAACTATATCAGTGTTTAATTTTCATTGCTATCTTTATTATTCAGAAGGAAAATTACGGGTGGTGAGATGGAAGAATCCCTCTTTCTTTTTTACCACTCAGAAAAAGTTCATGAGAGGGAAATTCAAAATATTCGAAGATGTCGAATTTTTTGTCAGAACTCCTGAAAGGCTTTTGATTCTCAGATATTTCCTCCTGAGTTTTGATATTACTATGTATAATATAGTCGTCTCTAGTAAATATCCCTCTATATTAGACTCAGAGAACATGTACCTTTTATATGGCGTCAATTCGCTGTGGTTGGCAGATTCGCTGTGGCGCACCCACAAAGGGACGGTGTGGGTGGGTTGAAAGGCACAAGACAAAGCCGAAGTCGTTGAGTTGATAACCGGAAATGAACAAAACCAGCCGTTTTCTCTTGCTTCAAAGTTTTCAGCCCCCTTTTTCTTTTTTCTCTCGCGCCAAGTCTTTCCTGGCAATATCAATATGTCAACATGCTCCACTCAATGAACACAAAACCTCATACCTGTGTTTGAACGGCACCTAAAGAGAGCTTACCAATAAAACCAAGCCAACGGTTGAAGACGCTTTTTACTTTTTGTCGGACTTTCGGATATCGGTATCGACTAGTACTGGCGAGGGCCAATTGAACCATCTCAGCGATTGATTGATTGACTCAAGAACCATCTGTCGGCCCCCGTTCAGGATGCCATCTATTCAGGGGTTTTAAGTGTGTTACAGCAACCCCTTCTCCGAGAATACCCCGATTACCATACAAAACAGGTAGGAGATTGGGTATCTGCTGAATCATACTGCTCCTGATTGTAATATCAGTCTCTCCGATCGACACTTTTCTCAACTTGATCCGTGAAGGTTGTGGATCTTCATTTTGGTAGGGTTCATAATTTCGATAACCAATTGTCAGCTTGGTTTGAAGAGAGACAGAATTGGAAAAGGGTACGGAGTTTTTGAGCCTGAATTTCCTTGTGTTGGATGGTGGACTCTCTCCCTACAAAAAACTCTTTCTTCCTCTGCTCTCCCCGTCTTTCTTCTTTTTTTCCCATTCAATCTCCTTTGATTTCTGCTACCCACACCCTTCATAATGGGACTTTTTCAAGACCTTTAGTTTACCCACATTCTCTTTTCAATATGCGTTTCCTCATACCCCTCTCCGTCCTCCTTGCCTCCACTGTGGCCTCGCCTAATAATTTCAACGACCTCTTGGATGAGATTTATGGCAACTGCAGAGGCGCTTGCGCTGCGGCCGAATTCAAGGAGAGTAAGGCTAGCTGTGGAGACTGAGAAGCTCCGCATCCAACGCCTGCTTCTGCAATAATTACGTCAACATTTTCTCTGGCGTCGATGCGGTGCGCTTTGGAAGGTGTATCTCAAAGTGTAACCTACACATCAGCAACATGGACAATTCTAAGTTGGGGCAAAATGTTCGCGACATCTGTGGCTCGAACTTTAGTGCTGATACCACTCACGTTGCGTCGTCACGGAGTAACATCGCCAGTCCCAGTACAGGCGGAGCAGGGTCGACTTCCACCGCTGCGTCGTCAAGCCCCTCTCACACTCGTGCTGGGAGCACTATTGCGAGCTCCAAGGCTGCACTTACTCTCGGTCTTTTGGCCTTCTTCCGTTATGCTCTGTGATTTTCTGACATTGTCAACTCTGAGAGAGGTAAAATACTGTGGATTCTCCACTGCTCTTGGTTATTCAGCATCCACCCACATTGCAATAGTAATTGTATGGTAATTCGGGTCATTCTCGGAAGAACTGTGATGTAATACGCAGTTTATAGCCCCTGGATCATTTTCAACAGATCGGAACACACAGACACACTCTCGTTAATCCATCTCATGCATCAATTGGCCGTCCCTCGATACTAGATGATACACGTATCCGACATCCTGACACTAACCCTAATGCAGGAGTAGTGCGTATCAGGGTGACAAGACAAAAGTATCAAGACAGGTGCTCCAACAGCTATACAATGAAGCGGGGAGTGATGCTCGAAGCAGCACGATCGGGACGTGCGGGTCGAATGGAACACAGATATGGCATCTACCACCTCCACCACCAACATGACGTGGTCTGTGTAGGGTACTGGACGGAATGCGAGAGTGTAACCAGGTGTCTTTTTTGCTATTCCTAGTCTCCTAAACGCAGATATCTATGCCAGCAATCCAAATGGGACTAGTGCTCCCAAGTCTAATGATCCCAAACTAAACATGTTCAGTCTTGGTCGGTTGGCCAGAATTGGTATTGTTGAGCTCAGCTTCCTTGGTAGGAAGGATCTCATCATCTTCCTGGATATCCATAGGACGACTCCGCTTCTCAGGGCCCAAAAAGGTCAAGAAAATCACGTATACATAGACCTAACATGATGACCGGTCAGCGGAAGGTTCTGATATGACAATAAGAGAGAATTTCACGTACACAAGCCATGAAGATACACATCACTAGGCCATAATTGAAATGAGTAACAATCTTGCCGTTGACAACCTTGGATGGCAGGGGAAAGCGCTGGCCGATGGTGGCTTCAATAGTGGCTGATGCCGACGAAACCAGATTCCCAAGCTGGTACGCTGTTCCAACGACGAAGGTTCGTAGCGATGGAGGGGCCAGCTCCATAAGATGAATTCTTTAGTATAGCAGTTAGTTAGACCGGAGGTTTAGACGACACAAGCTAGGGTTTAAAAGAAGGAGGGAGACCAACGGAATAACACCCCAGGCACCCTGGACACAAAACTGTTCGAAAAACGCCGCGACCATAACTCGCTCGTTGCTAACAAACGTATAGGGATAGAGCAGCGTACCACCTATCACACACGTCCAGAGGATAGAGAACCGTCGGCCAAAGATTTGGGAGGTATAACCCGCAACTAAGCCACCGAGAATTGCCCCTAGGTTTGCCACAACCTGGGTGACGGTAACTTGGTTGGCCGAGAGGTCGAATTGCGATTTGAGTAGGGTTGGGTAGAGGTCTTGCGAGCCGTGCGACTATACCAAGTCAGATTGGAAGATATATAGGGAGATGAAAGACCATCAGGGGAATAGGGGGATACAAACCATAAAGTTGAATCCTGCCATGAGCATAGTCATATAAATAAGTAGCATCCAGTGCTTCTTCAGCGCTACCTTGCCTTCCTTGAAGAATACTTTGCCAGGGCTATCCATCTCAGCTCGCACCGCAGCTCGTTGCTGGTAAACATTCGTTTCCGGCATCAACAGACGAGCAATAATGAATAGCACAGGAGGGCAGGCGCCAAACCAGAAGAGTGGGCGCCAGCCGTAAGAAGTGGTATTGACCAAAGCACGGGCGAAAATGGTCGCAAAAAGAAAACCAAACGACCAGCCTTGCTGCATCATACCTGACAAGAGGCCACGAGCTGCCTCCGGGGCATCTTCTAGCGCTGTAGCAGCAGCGTTGCCATAGATACCGCCCATTGCAATACCGTAGAAAGCACGCGTCACAAGAAATTGAGTGAAGGTCTGGCAGAAACCCGTGGCGAGTTCAAAGACGATAAAGAGCATATTGTTGGCAATAAATGGCCATTTGCGGCCGTAGCGGTCCGATAGGATCCCGAAGATGATCGAGCCAACAGACCGGAACATAAGTGTGATCGTGATACCCCATGTGATTTCTTCTCTGGTCTTTCCGAATGTCTCACTGAGGTCGGTGACGGTCATTGCCACCGTGAAGAAGTCAAAGGCATCCCACGTCCAGGCGACAAATCCAATCTACGGAATAGTTGTTAGATAGCGCTCTATTTACCGGGTAAGAGAAATATAGAGACTTTACCGAAAAGAACATCCATTGCCGCCGATTGACCAACGCAACCAACTTGAACGGATTAGGAACAGGGTCGAACGACGGGAGAATCGTCGGGAAGCGGCTTGCAAGGTAGGAGGCCATCGCAGCAAGATATCAAAAACAAGAAAGCAGGGTAGAGTATCTTCGTCAGAGTGCAACTGCGGCCATTTATAGTTAGCTGGTGTTGCTTTCTGAGTCCCACGGCTTCCTAAAACACAGGATTATTCCCTGATGATACGGAGAGCGCAGATTAGCGATTTCTCATCAATACATGTAAACATAATTAGGGGGCTGATATGGGACAAGTTGGGAAAGCAAATGTCAGGATGTCGGATACGTGTATCATCTAGTATCGAGGGACGGCCAATTGATGCATGAGATGGATTAACGAGAGTGTGTCTGTGTGTTCCGATCTGTTGAAAATGATCCAGGGGCTATAAACTGCGTATTACATCACAGTTCTTCCGAGAATGACCCAAATTACCATACAATTACTATTGCAATGTGGGTGGATGCTGAATAACCAAGAGCAGTGGAGAATCCACAGTATTTTACCTCTCTCAGAGTTGACAGCAAAGCTTAATTGACAGGAATGCCCTGTATAGTCAGGGAAATACACTGGATTTACTGGCCAGCGAAAGGCAACGGAATCAAAAAGGGGAAATTACCAAAAGATGCAAAAGAGTGTTGATTCTACCCCCTTGAAACTGCTGGTGGTTGAGGGGGGTTAATATACCCTCAAGAATACCTGTGACTCGGTGGTTACATTCCGAGGTTGCGAAACGTGGCGAAAAGTACGCGTAATCCCGATACCGAATACCATCTCTTCGGAAACCTCAGATGTACCGTTTAAGTCAATACAGTGTCGATCACTATTTTCCTGACAGAGGTTTAATATATTGTGTATAGAGTACAGAGTACGCGCCGCAAAGTGCGGGCAACAAATAGAATCCGGCTGGGCGGGTCTGTGGGTTGTCTAGCGAGAGTCAGATGCTTGAGCCATATTGGAGTCATATATGGGGTTCTTCTCCGTACTCCATATGTATCGAGTCTCCGTAGAAAAAAGCTTAATTAGAAGCGGACTCATGTTTGGAGAGACTTGCGAGGTTTATGCGGGTCCAAATAGCCACACGCAAGATCAATGGTCATGCGACGGGTGAATTGAATTCTAAATCCGTAAATTCGTACAGACGAGGCGTGTTGACTAGGGCACTTTGAAGGATTGTGTGGCATGCTGAGTTCGGCCACGAGAACCAACCGTCAGAACGGCCTGTTTCAGTGAAATCAACCATAATATGGGCTTTCATTGGCAGGCGGAGCCCCAATATCTGGCTTCGGGAAGGTGACCAATGTTACGGGCCGTTCGAAAGAAACACATTCATTCGGTGCCTACTTACAAGAATCTCGAAGATGAAGAAGGAAAGAGAAAGAAAGAAAGTCCGCCAGAAAAAGAGGGGTTAAGTCCCCAGCAAACGCGTTGTGCAAACGACCCAATATTATGCCTCGGGTATCCTTCCACGAGACGAGGCTATTCACAGGGTCATCCGTCACATGGATCCCGACTTCCACTATCTCGTCGTTGATGAGGATACACCGCGAAAGAAGCTGGTGAAACTAGCTAAGGAATTAAAGCCGAAGGAGGAGATTCGTGCTGAGGATCTTCGGGCGGCATGGAGAGCGATGATCAAGCAACCGGCTAAGGATGTTAATATCGATAGGTGGTTAGCACAGTGGAAGAACCTTTATGAAGGACGCTGTGCAGACGTACCTGATATCGTATATAACGTCAAATATGCTATCCGCGACTTCTTGCGAGCAATACGGTCGATTGAAGACCTGTTCACGTCAACCTGGGAGGAGAGGATCCTAACGAAGGATGTGACCTTCCAGGAGGTAGTGACGGCGTACGGTGTTCGTAGAGCCCAGCAGAATTCAACCCAGAAGAAGCCAGTAAAGGCGGCCTTCGCGACGCTCGATGGCCAACCTGAAGCGAAGACAGAGAAGACCTTGGCAGATTCGAAGAAGCCGACCTGCCCATGCGGTCGGGGGGGGGGGGGGGGCCACTCCTATGAGAAATGCTGGTATATAGTGTTTTCAAAGAGACCACCCTGGTGGAAGCCGAGAGAAGATACTTCAAAACGCGTGTCTGAAGCTATCAAGCGCATGAATCCTGAAGACCAAGAGGCTATTCAAAAGCTCATGAAGAAGCAAGAGTCTGCTCAGTTTACCTCAGAGTCAGTGCAGGACAGCCAAAGTATGAGAATGGCGATGTTCACTGCGAAGACAGCGGTCAGTATGAATTTACCTAAGGGAGATTACCATATGGCCAATAGCTGGATTCTTGACTCGGCATCAACCTGCCATATCTGTAATGACAGAGATAGAATTATCAGTTTCACAGAGGAACAGGGCCGTTTTCGTACAGGTGATGCGTCAACAGGATACGCTGGCTATGGTGACGTACGAGCCAACCTCACTGGCCCCGACGGGGTAGTATTTGGCGTCCGCTTGATGAATTTCCGGTATTCGCCCGGCTTCCAAACGAACCTGATGTCCTTGGCGATGATTCATATCGCCTTTGTATAGCGGATAATAGAGAATATTAATAGTATTGTCGGGATATATTCTCCTGTCGGAACAAACTGGCTGTGACCCACTGCTAGCGACCGATGGATAACATCCCTTGCTTGGTGTACACATTCTTGCGCTGGGCTGTGGCCTCGGTGTTGTGACCGCCGAAGGCCGGCGTGTGGGATCTAGGGGTGTTTTTCCAACTAGACTGAAAAAACTACATCTATCAACACAATTGACTTTTTGCTTTGGAGCATACACACTGTCCACTTAACTGTGTACACAGTACCTAGCTGGTGATACCAGCAAGTATATAGCAGACAAATAATAAAAAAATAGCTTTAAGGGATCAGGCTATCCAAACAGTTTCTTAGTTACCGCCATAGGAGTAAAATAAAATAAAACACTGGCAGAGATAATGGTACTGTGGTCTACTACCAAGGTCAAAATATATATTTCTCACTCCATGCACTACGAAAACCACTACTCCAACCAGAATCAACCGCCAAGAGCCTGGAATTTACTTTTTCAAGGGAACCGATAGGTTTTGATGTTGGGTATCCCATATAAAAGTAAAATTTGGTTGATTTAGTAAGGATTATAGGTTCATCGCACCGCATGACCATGTAATTCTCAAAACAGTGTTTAATAACAAAGAATTAGGGTGAGTCATCATTTTATCCGTCCGAAAAAGAAAAATCTTGGCAAAATTATGCAATCGCAGTCTTATGAGGTTCGAACCGCGACAGAACCGCATAGGACTGCGGTGCGGTGCGGTTCTGACATCTTGGAGCCGCAGAACCGGAAGTTTTGGTGTGCGGCTCCAGACCTTGGAACCAGAACCGCACCATTTTGAGGTCCGACTTGGACCTTGAACAAGTTCCCCTCTCAGCTCGTAAACAAGCTTTCTTCTGTGTTCAGCTTTGGCCAATGCATAACAACAAAGTTCCGTGTAATATACAGTATTATACGTAATTCAATTGTTCTTGAAAAAAAAAAGATCTATATTTAGGAAAGGGTTAATTAAGTCTTAGCCAATTACGAATTAGGGTCATTTGGATAACTAGTTAGAGAATGATCATCACAATTGTACCTCAATCCAGGGTTAGAACTTTTCATTGTGAGGGATCAGGGTAAATGACATCAACCAACCAACCAACCAACAGTAACACCCTATTATTCCACTTTGTATCATTCCCTGAGATTAAGTGTTTTTTTCTTGGCGCTGCTAGTAGGAGTAATCAGAACTTCAAAGTTGAAGGCTGGAACATATACATATAAGTCTTGAACTCTGCCCAGATAATTTGTCTCTTCCCCTGCAACCAATTCAGCTTCTTCCACATCAACAACCAACTTGAAGCCTTGAGCACGGTCAGTTATCAATAAAAACATATCGAAGCAAAAACCACGGTTTCTAACAGTCTCATAGGAAAATCTTCTCTTGTCAATATGAAGTCCTAGGAAACCTCGCCGCGCTTCTTGTCCTCCACCTCGGGTCCCTCGCTAGCTCGTGCTACTTTTGTGAAAACTACCCTCACGTTGGCGCCGTCGCGCCTACATACAGTTGCGGAAAGGATTGCGGAATGAGTGGTTACAATACCGACATCTCGACCTATCATTGTTGGGAAGATAGTAAGGGTTCCGGCTCTTGCTTCAAAAAGTGCTGCTCTGATTCCGACAAGCGAGCGACTCATCTTTCGATGTAATCTGTCTCAGATCTCCTGAACTACACCACCATGGAAGGAACGGAGATTGTGAGGGTTTAGAGACTCACAGGATAAGTCGGAGATTTTTCAAAGGGAATGAGCTGAAGTGGCAGAAATTGCCAAGGGACTCTTTGAATAAATATAGGCAGCCGGTGGCGTGACTTGCGATTAACTTTCCCACAACGTATCAAAACCGAACGTTCAACCTTCGTAACATCTCCAAATTCTACCTCGCTTTTCGCCCTTATTACGTTTCAGGGCCTCAGCATGGCACAGCGTGCGTCGCCGGTTTGTCTTGAGACGAACGCAGTGAGAGGGTGGGACTTTTTCCCAAATCTCGGAGCCCTGTCAGAGCTGGGTGTTTTTGCAGCGGGGGCTCAGCCAACCCTCAGATACCAACAGGCTATTTATGGGCTTGGGTAGAGTTTGGGCTACTGCAGATGTGGCCCAAAAGCTGTACACTTTCTGGACCCAGGAATTCCCCAACTTGGAAACGACCAGGAAGGCTTATTTACGAGCTGTATGATCAACCAACGTCCATAAGTCCGATCAAGCTCACTGGAGCTGGAGCTGGAATGTCAGGCTTTGTGTACAGGACCTCTCCAAACACAGGAAAAAGTGTGGCTGCCACCAAAGCCCCTCAATATCCTGTAGAGTTGGTGGAGCATTCGCATCGTCAGGTGCATCTGTCCAACTCTGGGTGCCCCATCAGGGCAATGATTGATGTGAGTACGGGGTTGAACAAGGTTTACGACCGTTGAAGTGTCCCCCAGGTTGTCTTTCGAAAACGCCAGATACTTCTGGCGTTATTTGTGGCTTTTTCCACCGGTGCGGACGAGCACTGACTTTATGGGAGTTTGCCTTCGATTTTGGTAGGAATTTTGGCCACCCTGGGAGTTGGGAAATGAATGGAGAAGGGAAGGATTTGGAAGAAAATATCAATCAGCCCATTCGGAAAAGGATGGCTTTTACCACGGGAGTTGGTGAAGGGCCTGGGTGGGGCGAGTACGCCCCGTAATTAAGCTTTCTTCAAGTAGATGGAATAATGGGGTCGGACACGTCAGGAACGGGTGCGATACTTGGCTGGTTGGTTGGTTGATGTCATTTACTCTGATCCCTCCAGACTGGGAGGCCAGGAAGAGTCACAAATGCCTCGCCTGCCAAACTTGAACGAACTGAAAAGGTTTGTTGTGATGAAGGCACATCGCCAGCCCTCATGACGAGCGGTGCTGTATATCGTTCCAGTCGTCAATACGCGCTCTTGGCTTCTTTCAATCGAAGATATGTCCGATGACTGAAAATGAGATCTGATTTCCAGCTTTCTTGAACCAGCCACATGTTCTGTTTGATCTTCATATCTTTGTCTTTTCACATTTTGACATGTCCTGTTTCGAAATCTCAAAGGCCCATCGAAATTTCATTTCAACAGGTGAGATTGAAGAATTTTCGAATTATTGAAATTTTTGAAATTCCCTCAGTTTCCTCTCGTGGGTGCGCTTGGACCTGAATTCAGATATCTTGGGGTCCCGACACGCCATGGAACGCCACGAGGCGTTATTTTTGACAAGTGCGAATGAAAACTTACCATTTCTCCACATTTGCATCACGTGGGAGATGAAACGTCCCATGGGTTGAGTCAGATGGAAGAAAACGTGGTTCTGATTTCTTTTTTGCTCTGAAAAACTCGAAATTCCCAGTTTTCTCTCGACACCTCAAGAGGTGGAAGAGATTGGGCTTGATTTCTTCAAAAAGTCAGTTACAGAACATCAACCTCATTTTGCGTCGAGACAATCCCAGCCTCCCGAAATTCCCGCCTGTGGTGATCAACAACTTTCAGGAACACCGAAGCCCACAATGGAAAAGTCGAGTGTTGCTTGCCGAAAGACACACAGAAAGTCAAAGAAAGGTTGCAAAACTTGCAAGCGCAGACATATTCGATGTGACGAAGGTTTCCCGCAATGGTATCTTAATCCCCCTACTACATAGTAGTGAGAATACAAAATTAAAATTGTCACTGACATGCTGGGATGGAGTGAAAACTGCGAAAAACATCGCTGCCCTTGCGATTATATCGATGTTGGAGATGGGAGGGAGAAAACGAGAACAAAACAAAAATTCCCAAATCTTCTTCTCACTAAGAAGATCGAGACGGAAATTGAGATTTGGCGTACCACAGGCAGGCCTCCTTTTCCGGAACTTCTGCAGTGCTCCCTCCCTGGTTGGCATGGCCTCACACGAACAGAGCTCCGATTAATTCATCATATTAGTGATATTTCGAGAAACCTTCGCCGTGACGGCTTCGGTGACTGCACTGTATGGAGCCTGAAAATCCATAGGTGAGTCTTTGGAATACCTTAACCGGCAAATTGTGCCAATATTTTTCATCATCTCAATTCGCGCATTATTTAGTTTTCTTGCCATTGCTGTCACCAATGACATGACTATGAATTCCATCTTAGCCTTCTCAGCTTCACAATTGGCATGGCTTACTCGAAATCAAGACACCCAGAAGCTCGCATACCACCACTACATATTAGCCATGAATGGACTCAAAGAAGCCATCAGAAATTCTTCGAAAGAGAACTGGGACCCTATCCTGGCCACCTCAATTCTGTTGTCTTGGCAGAGCACTGAAAGGTAAGATGCCCGAGGGAGATTCAAATGTGATAGGTGTTGAAATTTATTTGCAGGCGTGTTTGGATGTCCCTAAGAAGCGGACTCATAACTGTAAGCGTTGATCAGTTTTATGAGTTGGAATTTGAATTGCTCATATGCTTTCAGATCCTTAACACCCTGGATCCCAGGTGGAAAGAAGGTTCAGAATTGGCCAGATATCTTGAAAGTCAACTGGCTCCGACCAGCACGGGTTCCGTCATGATGGCGGGAACCCAATTCCAGGAAAATGTGGCGCTGCTGGATTATGTAATTGCATCTTTGCGCAATGTTCCCATTTCTGTTTTCCACAATCAGGAGTACTACAGTCGAGCTGAAGAGCTCCTGAATTTCACTCTAAACTTTCGGAAAGATATCTTCATGATATCGTCAGATGAAGCGTTCAAACGTGTGCAGCAGTTGCGGGAATGGCTTTTCTGGCTCCCTGCTGCAATGATTCGAGGCCATGACTGTGACACTTACGCGCTTTCTATTTTGACACAATTTTTCTGTGTCGGTATTTGCTTAGATCCTCTCCTTCCTGATATTGGAGGTGCTTACCTTGCACCTGTCTCAATTGGTCCGCTTGAGGATATCTGCAGGATTATCTGCTTCAGGGCTGCAAGCAATCCTCTCGCTGCCCATTTACATCTCGCATCAGTCTTGGTGGAATTACCGAGGCACATTGTGAATAAGTTCAAGAACAGACTCAACTGGGCACCACACCATCTCAGGAGTACCGAAATTTCCTCTGCTCCAATTGTCACTTCAATACCTGCTGCAAGACCACCTGATTTTCATCGTCAGTCTATCCTCCACCATCTGAGCTAAAGTCACATAAAGAATGAATCAAAAATTAAATTTGCTATTTTTCGTTTCATGTTTGCTGTCAGTTTTTTCCTTTTCCCAAATGCCTTGGAATGCTCTTTGAGACTGTAAGAGAACTACCAGGTTGGATGGCGCCGGTGATTAGGTAAAGGTTACAAGATGGACTTGAGAGGGGGGAGGATATGTTGTTCTCATAGACAGAGGCGAACGCTTGAGGAACTCAAGTTCCTCGTGCGCGAATCGGACGGTAATATACGCATAGGTACACCGCCTAGACTTATACTGGGTGCTCAAAAAATGATATGTTCTATTCCAACCATTGCTACACTGGCACAGATAGAGACGGATGAGATATTTTGGCCCGCACGGGGCACCTGCGGTCAGAACACTGGCGATGTAGACCTCGTTGACGGAGGGCTACGGCGCCGTGAGGGCTGCAGGCGGGCCCGTGGCACTCCGTATATTCTAGGAGGAAAATAGCTATGCGGGAGCATACGTGGTATATACATGAGGGGGGTTCCGCGGTGGGCGGGAAGAAGCCGTCGCGGAGAGAGCCCGGCTCTCCCTCGAAACGGCGATGTTCTTTTCGAGGGAGGGGCAGGCCAGGCGATATTTGTGAGAGATGTCCAGCGCGGAATATCGTGGGCCCGACGCACGGGGCTCTCATGCAACAGTCCCGAATAGAACATATCATCTTAACGCACAACGCAAATAAAAAACATTTATGTTCGGGGTGTTCTGACGAACTCGTTCAAATTTCATCTCTGATGACAAGAGCCATTACAATGGCGTCTGCTTCTTCCTCTACGTCGCGATCAATACATCGGAGTTTCAGCCCCATGCTCTCCATTGAGCCATCGTCTGATGTGTTCTTAGACTCAGATATTCAATCTTCTGTACGAGAACAAATCAGCACTTCGTGTCCCTGACTACCGCAATTCTCTCGTAGATATGCTAAGATGACCTACAGCCTTTCACTGGATCCCACGAGAGCTACGACATAACCCTTCGAAGACCCCCAGTGTCGCTGAGACGTGTTGGACCACATCGCAGAAAGAACTGGATTTTGTACGAGTCGGGCCTGGAGAGAGAATTTCTGGGATGGTGGGGGAGGACCGAGTACGGCCAGAAGCTGAACGGGGACGGTCAGTCCCAAATAAAATGGTCCACCGAGTCGCGCCATGCCGACGTTTTGAAACACTTTGATCAGGTAGCCGATATCCATTCTGGGCGCCCACGAGTATTCTGCAAAGCCTGTCTTACTTTGCTTGATCACCCACAGTATAAAAAGAATGGGACAAGCGCTATGAGTAGACACCAAAAGTCTAATTCTTGTTGCAAGGCAAAGAAAAGAGTATCTCATCAAGCTCTGATCTCTGATTCGCTGCAAAACCACTCCCTGGAGGAGTCACCCAGTGTGCACGGAGTAACAACATTCCAGCTTGAGGAGCAACTGTTGAAGACGATCACCTGTCTTCGGTTGCCATTTCAAACCGTGGAGAACCCTGTGTTCCAGAGACTACTCAACTTATTATACTCTGGACCGGGGCCACTGGAACTTCGAGCCCCTAGGGGACGGCACCTGGATTGTCTCAGGCCCTGACAGCAGTGTCGTCCGTCGCTGGTTGTCCACGACGGACCAAGGTGTTTAGGACTTGATTATTTTGTCAGGGCCTTGAGATGGTGTGTCTTCAATCGGTGATGTCGTTTTCCCTCTGGATCTTGCCAGCAGTACTGCCCCTCATGGTGATATGGGGACCAGGCGGTGTGGGGCGATTACTGGGCACGGATACCGAACTTAGTTCCTATTTGGATTCTGACAAACTGAGGAGGTGGTCAAATACCACTACCTCGGGATTGGCTTATTCATCGTTCACCCAATTTCCACCTAGTATGGTGTCATAACACGCCATAGTTCAACTATAAAGACCCCTGAGATCGCTCAACCGATCGGAGTACCTACAATCAATCATCTTATTCTGTTTGGACATCTTCAGTACTAGCCAGTACATTGATTCCTCATCCTGACAGATTCCTTTCAACTGTTTTCATGTCGTTTCAGGACATCACTGTGCGGAGCTTGCGGAGCGTGCGTCACCGTTTACAAACCTTAGGTCTGGGCGAGGCTGACTTGAAGGCTGAGTTGATGCTGCGAGAAACACAGCTAAATTTCGCACCAAGCCTCGCTTTCATTGGTCTGGTATTTGGGGATTTACGTGTTTTGTGTTCTCACTTGTTTTCCTGGCTTTCCCTCCGCCTGCTTGTTCCTACTAGCTTCATCCCGGTCGACCGCACCAGCATCTCTTCCGTTTTGCTCTCACTCTCTCGCCCGTGTTTCTTATTGCCTCCACATGACATCAAGTGTCCGATCTTGCTCAAGCTCAAGAAAATCTGCCTCCTTCCGTCCCAAGATCAATTCGCCGAGTGGAGATATATTACCTAGAACTTGAAGGATAGTGGAACGGTGGTTAGTGGAGAAAGAGAAGAGAGTGGAGAAATCTTAATTTTTTATTTACTTTGCCAATAAAGGAAGACGATGATAGGTAGGGACCATGAGGAAATGTGGAGGTGGGAAAGATCTTGCGCAAATCTTGCTCACGCTCAGGCACGAACATGGCGCAAATAATTTTAATTCCTAATTGTTTTAACCACAAGTCCAGACTCTATATGTTGGCATCAGTCGATTGAACGTCGCGAATAATGGGACAAGTTTAGGCCCTATTCTTGCCAGCCAGAGGATCTCAAGAGAAAAAGATGTGCTGAAACCTGGTGCTTTTTTTCTGCTCCTGGAGATGCCAAAGGAAGTCAAAGACCTCAAATGGGATATTGAATCATGTGGGAGAGGATGTGTCACTTGCTCAGCCTCGTACACTCTTATCGAAAATTAGCCCCACTTTGGTATTTCGTATATAAGCTTTCGTCAGTGGGTCCCTGTTAGCACACCGCCCACCGATATTGCTAACACACCCACCAGCTCCACCAACGCTGCAAGCTGGTGCCCTGAAACGAACGAAGTGAGAGGAAGGGTTGACCTCCGTGCGCAGGGAATCCATCCACACCTTTCTCCGATAAACTGGCAGAGGTTCCCACGTATGTTGCATGGAAACATCATACTTTCAGGTACGTCGATTACCTGAGCGAATGACATGGCTGTCAAGTATGGCGTCCGCATGGCGAGGTTCCTCCAAGACTGCATTTACGGCGACGCAACCGAAGAGTTATCCGCCATCTCGACCTGGCTCGCGAAGCTCCATTTCACAGTCGCCTGTGTGCGGCGCGCCACGGCTTGGAGCAACGATTCTGTAGTCCACGGAGCCCTCACGCATTGCCAAGCCATACTCGACCCGTTGCATTCTATTTTGGAGACGCACATGGATGACGCGGCCGGATGGCCCATAAAGGACCGGAAAGCACTGCGTGTACTAAGAATGCAGCTGGAGACACATCACTCGAAGCTTCTTGTGATGTTTGCGACAGTAGGCTCAGGTTCCTATCCGTGAGTGTGCCGTGCCTGACCTTGCTTGAAAGGCACTAAGCGCTAACAAATATTCGGTGGCAGGGCTGTTCTCCTGCCGACGGATCAAGACCCGGTCTTCGTACGAGTGCAAACCTCGGATATCACGATTATTCGTGGGCGAGTTGCCCGTCTGCTGGAAAATATCTCGTCCATTCGTCGCGGGATGGCGCCTGGTTTGTCGGAACATGTCCGCACGCAACCACATGTAGACATCGACCAGGCCCTCGAGTTTGCAATCGACACCCAGGCAATAGCGCAGTCGCGACTTTTGTTTTCTTTAGAGGGTCAGGACCCCTGTCAATTCTCAACTGACAGCAGCTTCTTCCTCGCCCACAAGCGGGGTCCTGATCTTCGCTCCGTCTGCACATCCTTCTACGAAGTGCCGGGCGGCAAGTTGGCCAGGCGCATAAATCTACCGCTGCCTGAAAAGGGCTTAAATGGTTTCCTTAACACTTTCCTCTCACCATCGGGGGAGCTGGTATGGTACCACTTCATAACGGCTGGCAGTGACGATGTCTGGCAACTTTGGTCATGCGAGTATGACATGGACAGCTGGTCGGTGCGGTCGACCATTTCCACCGTCCTCGAAGAACCGGATATACTATTTCGTAGGACGGTCCCTGACAGCCCGAGCCTAATGTGTGTCTTCTCGGACAATGGTAGCAGGATGGCAATATGTTTCCAGACAACATTGTACGTCTGGACACGACATAGAGCAGATAACGGGGACGATGCAGCCAATACCCAGTCGTCATGGTCATGCACCAAAATATCCCTAGCTCTGCCGCTGCGGAAGTCTGAGGACACCTCGCGAGCAGCCGGCACGGGCTTGCTGCTCTGGAAAGCCTACTTAGTCCCGGATCATCTGCGTTTCGTGGGCCCCGGGGGTGAACGGATCCTTGTGTGCGGTGCAGATCACTCGGACCCATCTCAGCCCCGGATCGTCCTGAGGAGCTGGGACTGTGCGTCCAGTCGACAGCTTGTCAACGAGGATGTCGAAGTGGCCAGTTATCGCATGATCCTGTATCAGTTCCCGATCTGGAATATTCCTATCCGATACGCCTATCTAAGCGACACCCGTCTCATACTTTGGAAGCTGCCCGTCATGCAGCCTGCGAGCCTAGGCGTTCTGGACGTAACGCAAAGGTCTTGGACGCCACTCGACTTTGTTGAGCCCCCTCCGGTAGACAAGAGGTGCCCCTTCATTGCGAGCCATTCGTCGCTTCGTCTATCCATGGACCGCCGTCTCTTAGCTCTTATGGGCTGTATAGACATCGTGACAACAAAAACCCCGAAGACCCACAAACTCGACTTTGTAATAGACATCTGGGACCTCGAGAGGCGGGAACGCGTGCGGCGCTTCAAGGACGTATGTGGCGGCGTGCCGCGCCTGTCCGATGACTTCAGCACGTGTTGGGTTTGGAACGAGGACAATCGGTTCTCTGGTCGCGGCTACAAGCAGGGCAAATCTGTGTGGAGTCTACCCAAGTATTATGACTCTGCCACGTTCGACCATAGGCACAGGGAGGCTTAGGCGTTTTAGCTGGTTATTAAGCCCGAACCAGAGGTTGGGGAAGAACTTTTTCACTTAGCTAGCAAGGGCGGGTGGCCGTTGTACATGGATGGTCTGGGATTCCCGTATCCCTAGCGTGTTTTTTGGACAGGGGTCCTAATTGGTGAATTTACGCCACTTTCTGGCAGAATATCAACACAAGACGCGGTGATGCGATCTGGGACATTCACTCACGTTTGTTGCCGGGATGATCTGGCTTCGCTTGGCCGGTTGATCCGACTGGATTCAATCTTACCTGGGCTCGTAAGGCACACTTACGTTGCAAGAATGGCCGTTTCCTTCAAGACCGAAAGTTTCTAGCAGTAGACCTGGTTTCTACGAAGGACTGACTTGCTAAAAAGCGGGAAACGATCGTCCCAAGCCAATATGCTACCTAGCTAAGTGACTGCAAGAGCAATTGCTAGTGTTAGTTGAAAGAATATCAATGTTGACGATTCTTGCGTCATGCCCAAGGCCCGAAAACTTAGGGAGATTAGGAGAGGACAGACCAGAAGCAGTATAAGGACTGGAAGCAGTATAAGCGACATTGTTGAAGAGTGGGAAGGCGACCACTTTGCTACTCTTAAGGTGGAGAAAGAAGTAGCAGCTAACGAATGATATTTAACTTTTTTCATCGAAGATTATGATTAGTCTATTCCAACCATTGCTACACTGGCACAGATAGAGACGGATGAGATATTTTGGCCCGCACGGGGCACCTGCGGTCAGAACACTGGCGATGTAGACCTCGTTGACGGAGGGCTACGGCGCCGTGAGGGCTGCAGGCGGGCCCAAATGACCCGGTGGGCCAAAAGAGGATGATGGAGGGGCTGGTGGTATGGAAGATGAGACCGGAGTTGGATGACCGGTCTGGAATTGACGTTTCCAGGCATATAGTGTTGTTCTAGGTGTTGTGAAATAAAGGCGGAAGGCTTCGGAAGCCCATCTCCCGAGGGCTTGGATGTGGTCATTCCTTAGGCCTGCGTTGTGGGCGTGTTGTGCTGCCCCTTTCCTGAAACTATGACCCTTAAGTCCCGTGGTGTCTTCCCCGGCGCGGTTGAGCTTAGAGATAACCGCACGTTGGAAGGCGGATGAGGTGAAAGGACCAGAGGAGAGCGCAAATAGAGGAGCAGTCATAGGTTGAGAATCATGGAGGAATAGCTTAGAAAGGCCTTCGACGGGGCAGGCTGCGTCGTTTGTCGCTGCAAGGACAACATTGACACCTTCGTGGTTTCGGTCGGTCTTGCTTCTCTTCAAAGTAAGGAGGACGTGGTCCATGGTGGGGGAGAACCTGACATCCGCCCGGGTTAATTTAGTAGCAGCGAAGACTTGAGTGTCTCTGAGGTCGGTAGCTGAGTATGTAAATTCCCCGACCCGAAGGAATCCGGCGAAGGCAACGCGGGCGGCCACGGCAAGATTAAGGTCATTTTTCTGGGCCGCTGAGAGCCCCCCGCGGTTGGGCAGGGAGATGTGAGATATTCCCTGAAAGGGTTATGACTGAGGCGCGTGAGATTGGGTTGCGAATCCGCTTTCGGCGGGGCGGTTGCAGCCGGCGAGCGCCATCGATCATGCGACGAAAATGCTTAGCGTGGAGGTCAAAAATTGTGTCAGGTAAACCGTTATCGACGTGATACGCGCGGAGAGCTGAGAGCTCAGACATAGCTGAATCGGGCTTCACAGGTGGGGAGCTACCCGCGCCCAGTAGGCGCTCCGTAAGCCAAGTGCAGATAGACGGGGCTGTGGCTGGCCACGGCTGCATTCCATGGATCGCGCAGCTGCGGGCGTAAGAGCGCTGCGCCGAGCGATAACCTCTTCTGGTTCCTTCTGCAAGACCATTCCAGACCAGCTTCGCATGGCCAGCATTCACGAAAATAGGCTGTCGAGAGAACCAGGTTGGCGGAGCAAGGGAAAGGAGCTCGTCCACTGTGGGCAAATATTAGCGATGATCCTATAATCGGAACGGGACAGAGCATCAGCTAGTAGGTTCTCCGATGAAGGTAGCCAGTGTGGCTGGACTTCGATATCAAGGGCGGCTGCTATGCTGAAAAGCATGAGCAGGGGGCGATGAGCCGGCCCACGGAGTGCCTGCTTAGACAGGCCATGAAACGCGACGGCGCTGTCTGTGAAAGCGAGGACAAGATGATGAGCCCAATGGGGGCTATGTATGAGGAAGGCCTGCAGGATTGCGGAGACCTCCTTGATGTTGATGTGGGCCACGTCGCCGCAGGCGGAGGAGGCGTCCACGATAGCCGTATGGGTGGAAGGCAGGTGAGGTGCTGCAGACATCCAGTCCCTGGCGGAGTCCCATGAGGGCGCATAGAAGAAGAAGAGGCCCAGACCTGAGTCGCACGCGTCTGTGTAGAGGGCAACTAGGGGGCGGCTCTTCTCGAAGAAATGGATGCCGTTAAATAACGGGAGAGTGTCCCTCCACCACGCAAGATCCCCGCGGCTATCATGGGATAGGCGGCGAACGGAGCGCTGGTGGGAGGGAAAGGATGCGAGGTCGCTGTAGAGCGACTGAAGGCGGGCTCTGCCGAGACGGATAACCATTGAGCAGTGTTGGAGGAAACCGACTACACGTTGCAAAGCTTTATGCGAGACGCGATCTAGCTGTAGTAGCGACGCGGCTTCGGAAGATGCGCGTGCTAGCTTATCGCGAGGCATTCGGGCCTGTAGGAGTGTGGTGTCGATTTCGACCCCAAGGACACTGACCACGGTACCCGCGGCGTCTTTCGAGTCATTCCGTGGGATGCCTAACGCATCCGTGAGAGGAATATATACGGTATTGAAAGCGGTAAGGGCTTTGGAGAGACTTCCTGCGGAGGAAGGGAAAATAGTGATGAAATCGTCAAGGTAATGAGCGACAGAGGCCAAAGGCAAGCAAGCGCTTAGGAGCCAGTTAAGGCCCTCGGCAAAAAGGTTAAAGATGAAGGGTGCAGTTGTAAGGCCGAATGGGAGGCAGCACTCCATGTATGTCTTGTTCTCCCACGAGAAGGCTAGGAGAGGCCGGTCAGCGGGAGCGACGGGAATGTTACGGAAGGCATCCTTGATGTCGTGTTTGATGATATAGCACCCTCGTCCCGACGTGCGTATGAGATCAAAGATGTCATCCATAGAGATGTATTGTATAGTAGAAGCAGCGTCGGGGATAGACTCGTTGACACTCTGACCCGGCGGGTAGGAGAGATCATGGATACGGCGCCAGCTTCCGTCGTGTTTGGGTACCAGCCCCAGTGGGGAAACAACGACGGGGCCAGTAGGTAGTTGTACCCGACGACATAATAGGTCATTAGAGAGCTTCTGGGTGATAAGGGAGTGTTCCTCGATGCGGTGATTAGGAGTTCGACGGTATCTTGGCACGGTCGTACAACCGAGGCGGCAGCCGAACGTAAGGATGCCGCTGCAAATAGTCCCTAGGTTGCCAGGATAACGTTCGAGGAGGGTTTTCCACGCTGAGGCGATGAAGGGAGAAGCGGAATCACGCAGAGGCGGGAGGGAAGGGTCGAAGACCTCAAACTGGATAGAAGTATTGGGACGCGGGGCCGGCCAGCTAGTTGGCGGCGACAGGATTTGACCTATATCAGGACCGACCCCGGCGTGTTCCTAACTCGCTGGTTTCACTTTGCAGCTTACTATAGAGTGGTCGTTGCCACACTTAGAGCAGACGTGTCTTCGGTGACACGTTCGCCAGTGGCAGCCAGCAGAAGAGTTGAACTTTTCACAAACGACAGTATCGTTATTTGGGGCAGCGGTAGAGCGCGTTGAGCGCGTGGTTGGGGAAGCCGGTGTCGTCTTTGCTGGGAGCACGTTGTCCGGGCGAAGGTAGGAGCTCTCGAGGGCTTTCCCAATTTCCCAGTCACTGAGAGAAACGGTAAGGTCGCCTTTATCGACGACCATCTGGTGGTGGTCCAAGGCCATCTGCAGGATACAATCCTGCCATTTATATGCCCTGGCAAGGTCGCAAATGCGGCGGTGGAAGAGGACCATTCCACTGATGCATAACGGGTGCTTAGCAGCGAAGAAATCACACCAGACAGCGATGTAATTGCTGAAGCAATGGGCCCAGAGGGAAACGTCATTTCCCCAGTCCTTGATTGAGACTACCTTGCGGAATTGCAGGCCAGATGATGTGGATTTTAGATCGAAGGACTCGCCATCCGGTGCCGAGGCCTTGAACTCAGGGCTACGGAATTTTATGAGGTCCTTCTTTGGTCGGAAGGTGTGCTCGAAAACGGCAATAATAGCAGCACGATCGAGACCTGGGAAGCGGGGGAGGACTGGCAAAACAAGAGATGGGACCCTACCGTCGTCAGCATCCTCCTCCCCCGTGAGGTCTAAACGTGGGCGCTTGCGCTGCCCGTCGCCCGCAACAAGAGACGCGGACACAGTAGAGATGAATGAGTCCCGCTGGGAGTCGGAGAGGGAGTTCCATATATACTCTGGTGGATAGATCGAGGAGCCCAAGGTGGTCTGTCCCCCAGGGGTTGGACTGGGGGCCGCCGAACTATGACGCACCATTGTAAAAGGAACTCGGGAAGAAGCCGTCGCGGAGAGAGCCCGGCTCTCCCTCGAAACGGCGATGTTCTTTTCGAGGGAGGGGCAGGCCAGGCGATATTTGTGTGAGATGTCCAGCACGGAATATCGTGGGCCCGACGCACGGGGCTCTCATGCAACAGTCCCGAATAGAACATATCAAATGTTCAAACTCATGGAACTCGATTGTGAACGTGTTCGGGTCCACTTGACTCCTCAGTCCTACGTCTTGTGTGATATCTTGCATTGCAAAATTGTCAGAGAGAGAGGAGACACTCTCCTGTGCTCAATTGGCAGTTCTTTGAGACATTAAAAAACAAAAAAAAATTAATAGTTCGGAAACAAAAAAGCAAACATAAAAGAATACGCTTCCGACGCCCTCGATCTCAACTCATAGGCTCCCGGAAAACCGCGTGGAGAGGCGAATTATATCACGCTTCTGTTCGACATGGATATAGAAAACTGTAAACTTCATTCAAAGAATGTCACCGTTTCTCAGAATATCATCTTTCAGATTGTCTCTCTTTTTGTTGGAGGTGATTTGGTGGCGGTTTGTAGCCGGTGTCAGCTGAAGGGAGAGAAGCAGGACAGAATATGGCAGTGCCATGCGGGCCAAACAGCGAAACCCAGTGACAAATTATTTAGCGGCGGCGCTGCACGCAATAGACAATCAGGAGGACCCAGGCAATAAACTTGGAGAGACCACCGAGGACAAGCATGGCGATGCCGCCGTTATACTCGCCTATATTGCCCGTGAAGCAGGAGTAGTCGTAGGTATAATCTCCATAGGATAGCGCAGAGGTGCAGGTCTTGTACCCTGCAGAAAGGTAAGCGCTGACAAGGGCAGCACCGATGATGAAAAAGATAACAGCAGCAATAAAGAACCCGATGCACCACCATTTGGAAATGCCCTTGCGGGGCGAGCTGGAAGGTGCGCTGATTGGTTCCATGTTTGGTTCAACGCAGACAGAAAACGAAAGGAGTGAGAAGGAAATGCAAAGGAGGGACTTCTGAGAAATCGAATTTTGCGATCAAAGAGGGCTTAAAGACTCTTTCAGGCCCGTAAGTTTCGAGCGCAAAAAAGAGGGAAAGGCAAAATACGAGGTACCTTGTGGAGGTGATTATGGAGTCTAGCTCGGGGTTTGTGTTCTGCTTGCAGATCAAAGATGGTTGGAGCAGATTGGCGCTCCTCTTTTCGTAAATAAGCTTTTCACACCTTGTTGGTGGCGCGTGATTAATCCCGTTGGATCTTAAGGGCCAAAAAACTGCTGCACTCAGCATTGCAACCTGCACCAGGAAATTTTGTTTCGAAAAAACCCATGCCAGCAGAAGAAAGGGTGAGGCGTTCACCAAGTTTGCCTCTCTTTGTGCAACCACAAACTGTCTCTGTGTTTCTGGAGTTCAAAAAGATATATGAAGTTGTGGTTCCCCTCCATTCATACCATGGTCTTATGAAACCCTCGAAATGCCTGGATGATTGCTCTTTTCATTCTGTGATATCTGCGGATGAAGTCGTCATTCCTTCTTTCTGTTCCCCAAGATTTGACAAATTTTCAATTTCTGCCTTTGAACAGGTCACCCTATGTCCATTTCGGCGCCCTTTTGTTTCAGTACGTAATAATTTGAGTGTCTATGTTCTCTCGTTTTCTGTGACCAAGCTTTTCTGCCTCCTGATTCGTTTGTTATAAGAAGTTCCAGCCCTTTTTGTGTTCTCTTTGTCCCCGGTTCCTGAAGAGGCGCAGCCACCAAACACTAGCCCCATGCAGACCCAAAGTTTCAGGTGGAAAACCGATGAGGCAACGGTTTTGGCTTCTCAATTTCTTTGGCATCTGCTTGTGGCCAATCCAGAAAGTCTCACTTCAGTCACCAAGCAACATAAAGTTATCATCAGCTGGAGATCGGGATGGTGCTGACCTGTGACTGAGCAGGCAGACAATGAGAGAAGCAAATTTCTGGCTGGTCTGGATAGGAAGACCCATCTTTTGTTCTTTTTGGGCGGGGCTGGCAAGATTGGCAACTGAGAATTGGAATATGAGGGAAATCCACAGGCGCTGCAAGTGATGTTCTTGAAACGTCCAGTCCACCATGAGCGTGCCAGTGGCGATCAGCCGAACTCTATCAACCATTTGAGCGGCCAGTGGTTGGCCTACAAGCCCCAGGATTGCCAGTATCGAATCGTCGAACAGGCAAGGGCTGAGTAAGAACTCCATGAGCATGCCTCGCCTCGTATTAATCTCCATTGTTAACGTAGTTCCCAAGCGAGCCGGCCACCCAAGCGAGCCGGCCACCCCAAAAACACATCTTAAATGCGATAAATTAGCACTCCATATCTCAACAACCATTGACTAACTTTACTTGAATATTGGCAGGTAGGCTTTACTTAGCATAGGGATTAATATATCCTAGTTTTAAATATTTTAAAATGATCGCCTTGCAACGTTACAATAAAATACACTGTAATTTTTGTATTCTATACATAAATATATGTATTTCTCTCTTCTAATTAGATTTTATATGTCAAAACCACGCCAGTGGGCTGGTGACGCTATCTAGACCATCATGTCCAAATATGGTATTCTAAATCGATGTTTTTGTTGAGATATGTTGTGGTATTTTATCGCATTTACTATGTGTTTTGGGGTGGCCGGCTCGCTTGGGTGGCCGGCTCGCTTGGGAACTACGTTATAACTCAGATGGTTTAAGATTCATGGGTGAATTGAGGGTTGGTACAGGTCAGGGGCTCGATTCTCAAACGATAAAAGGCAGCACTGCGTCAAGCATTTCATTTCTCTCGAATATCTTCAGATCCAGTCCGATTCTTGCCGTCGAGACCGCTGTATCGACCGATTGTTCAACCTGAGAAATTGCGGCTGGATTCGGATATCTCTCTCGATCTTATTCCAGAAGACGATGGGACGTCGGAATATCGGGAATCCATCACGCAAGACCCACCGGAACTCAAGAATTGGTTGTGGTAATTGTAAAAAACGGCATATCCGATGTGATGAGGCCTTTCCACAATGGTATGAGAGTTCCCTTGTTTCAGCTTGATTGCCGATGGCTGAACGATTCACTTAGTCAAAACTGCACCAGACTGAATCGGCTTTGCGATTACTCAGATACGGTTTTTCTCACCGAGAGGCACGACGGAAGACACCCGGACCTCCTCATGACTTGGAGAATAATGACCGAACTGCGACGATGGCACATGACGGGTATTGCGCCATTGACTCATCTGCGGCTTGTTCCTGAAGGTTTCTGGGATAAATACACAGGAACTGATTTAAGGCTTCTGCTTCACGTTACTCGAGTATCTATGGATTTTGAAAGTCGTGGTATCAGTAACTGCAGCGTCTGGGTGCAGAAAATGCCCGCGTACGAAGACCAAGTATGGTTTCCAAAAATCCGGTCCCCTTGCACACACTGAGGGTTAATAAAGCTTTCTTGCGATGGCGCTAGAAACCCCTTTGTTATGAACTCACTGCTGGCATTTTCTGCTTGTCACATGGCTTGGATCACCCGAAATACCGATACAAGTGATTTAATGCTCCAGTACAAAGGGTTTGCCATAAACGGCCTACGAAGATCTCTTCACAAATTTTCTGAGAGTATTTCTGAGGCAGTTTTGGCTGCTTCTATCCTGCTTTTATGGCAGGCAAACGAGTGGTGCGACGATATCCCAATAAGATCGACTATCCACGGAACTAAATTTTATTCGTCGTGTGCTTTACAGGCAGGAATGGGTTTCACTCCAGTGTGGAATCACGAGTGTGAGTAAGGTCTGCTTCATGGTGCTTAGCCAAGGGGCCCAGCTAACTTCATCGTACAGGTTCTCAAAGCCATGGCGCCAGCTGCGAAGCGTCGATCTGAGCTAGCCATGTTTTGGGATCGCCAGAATAGCACCAAGCATGGCTATTCTTTGGAGATTTTCTGTGGCTCTGGTCCTACCATCCTAGACACGCTCACCGCCGATTTGCTCGATATGGAGAATTCATTGGTCTACCAACTTCATGGTTCACACATAAGTGAACTATTGCAGTTTATCCAGAAGATACAATGTGGTGGCCCCTTTGCTGATATTGAAGATACATTCGATAGACTGCGCCCGCTAAAGACGTGGCTCCTTTGGCTGCCGCCAGCTCTTTTCGCTGGACAAGAGGAAGTGAGTGCACTTATTATACTCTCGCAGTATGATACGGCCGCGGTGGCCATTACGTCAACCTTCCATTTTCCTGACCTCAAAGACTTTTATCTTGGAAGCCTATCCCTCCCCCCGCTTGCATTCGTTCAAGGAATCCGTCGCGTGAAAGGCATCATGCCTGTGCATCAAGGAGACGTGCTCGTCGAAGGGAACAGTTATTTCGTGCCAGGATCAGGTAGTATTATATAATAACATCCCATTCCGGGAATTATAACGTAATCCACAAGCGAGTCGATCACACAAGCGAGTCGATCAGCCAACGCGGTCGCGTCCCCTATTTAATCTTCCACTACCTTCCACCACCCACTATGCCACCAATTCGCTCTCAAAATGCCCAAAAACGTGTCGAGCAGGAAGGTAGGATCCTCTTAGCTCTTAAAGCCATCAAAAACCATGAAGTCTCTTCTATTCGTGAAGCTACGCGCCGTTTTGATGTGCCCTTTGGCACGTTATATAGCCGGCTTCGCGGTCAGCAATACCGACAAGAATCACGCGCAAATGGTCGTAAATTGACCAGTTCGAAGAAGAATCGCTTATTGAATGGATACTATCTATGGATCTACGTGGAAATCCTCCCCGGCCAAGCCTGGCTAAAGATATGGCCAACTTACTACTCGCAAGCCGTGGACCTACACGTCCTCCGACCGTTGGCATTAATTGGGTCCCAAACTTCATTAAACGTCATGCAGACACGATCGCGAGTCGCTTTAGTCGTCGATACGACTACCAAAGGGCACAATGCGAAGACCCAGATGTCATTGGCGAGTGGTTCGACTCTGTACAGCGAGTTATAGCCAAGTACGGCATCGCCAACGAGGATATCTTCAATTTTGATGAGACTGGCTTCGCAATGGGCCTAACTGCGACCGCTAAAGTGATCACTCGTGCCGAATATTATGGGAAACGATCGATGCTACAACCTGGGAATCGTGAGTGGGTGACTGCGGTGGAATCAATCAACGCCGCTGGTTGGCACCTTCCACCGTATATCATCTTTAAGGGCAAAGTCTTCATCGAATCGTGGTTTGATGACCTTCCGGATGGCTGGAAAATCGACAAAAGCGCAAATGGATGGACTACTGACGATATTGGCCTTAACTGGCTTAAGAATCACTTTATTCCATACACTAAAGGCCGCTCGAAGGGCAAATATCGACTACTAGTCCTTGATGGACACGGCAGTCATTTAACGGCTCAATTCGATCAAATCTGCACGGAACATGATATTATACCAATTTACATGCCAGCGCATTCTACGCATTTACTCCAGCCACTTGACGTGGCTTGCTTTGCCCCCCTAAAGCGTGCATATGGTGAGCTTGTCGAAAGCCTAACTCGGAATGGCATCAACCATATCGACAAGCTTGACTTCCTTTCGGCATATCCTGAGGCCCGTCTACGAGCATTTAAAGATACCACTATACAAAGTGGCTTCAAAGCAACAGGATTATGCCATTTGATCGTACTCAAGTCCTTTCGAAGATCAATATTCGGCTAAAAGCTCCAACACCACCCCGAAGCCGTGGAAGCAACAGTTCAGCCGATTTTATGCCTATAACACCACACAACTCTAAGCAGCTACATCGGCAGGCATCTTCGGTTAAGGCACTACTTAAATATCGATCTCAAAGCCTTCCTACGCCCACCAAAGCGGCCATTGATCAACTGATTAAGGGCTGCCATATGGCTATGCATAGCGCAGTGCTTTTAGCCGAAGAAAACCGGGGCCTACGTGCTGCAAATACAAAGAATAAGCAAAAGCAATCAAGATCCACTCGCCAAATATCTCATGATACAGCATTAGGTGCTACAGAGGCGCGTGCGTTGATACAGGCTAGCCAACAGCCAGCTGAAGCCGAAGCTACAACCTTCGTGGAGATCGCAAATCAGGCCAGTACGCAACGAACTCGGGCTCCACCAAGATGCAGTGGATATGGAGTGATAGGGCATAAGATAAATAGATGTCCGAAGCAGTAGCTATTAATTTAATTGCGTTGTGGTGGTAATATATGCAAATCAAAATTATGACTGTAGTTGGCTGATCGACTCGCTTGTGTGATCGACTCGTTTGTAGATTACGTTAGACACTTTTTAAGTGGTAGTATACGTCACAGCGGGTGTCTTCATGCCGCCTATAGCCACGAATGTTAAATGGAATCGTATCAAGTAAACAATGTGTATCAGATGAGAATCCTCTCTACACGGTAGAAACAAGGAGGCGAGATACGCTATCTGTCGTTGGCTTGCCTGATCCCCTTAAACGCCGCCTCCACAAGTCCTTGTGTTTTATTGCTTCAACTCCAATCAATCAATCAATCAATCAATCAACACTCTATTAACCCAATGGAGCCTATCTAGTTGCGATAAGCAATGTAGGCGCTTCATCGGATTGAAGCTAGAGAATCATCCGAACTCCCGTTTCCCCAAGCAGTGTATACAAAAGAATTGGCGTGTGCTGGTATGGGGAATCCCTCAACAACCCATAATAACCCACAGTAAATCAGCCAACAGAACGCGATCAGCTCATATTCTATGCACTCTGCAGCCACTCCCCTGTATCTTGATCTTCTCGGTTGTTACGTGTCAAAAGGAAGAAATCAAATCAACCTGCGCATTTTAACGAAGGTATCAAGTCCGCAGGGAGAAAGGAAGAGAAATCTGCTGACGGGGAAAGATTAAATAAATACCCTAGTGCAGCCCTCCCTCGCGTAACACATACAACAAACAAACAATCAGTCTCAGTCCGTCACAATCGTCACATCGGTCCCCTGTCTGCGTGGGAGTCCTCCCCTAGCCCCGTTCTATTCTTCTTTCTGTTGAGAAATCAGCCTTGTTCACTGCTGATAAACTGTATCGTTTAATATTGCTTTTTCTATGACAGATAGTATAACTCACCCCTCCATTCAGGGGTCATTCCAAAAAAACCCTTGGGTCAAAAAAATCAATTCTTTTGCTGCCTAGTTGGTGCAGGTATTCATTTCCTTCGCATTCAGAGTTCCTCTCCTCAACATGTTCGTGGCTTGGTGATCATGATATTTTCGCTGCTGTCATCTTCCGCTAGCGTCTCGGTGGCCGCGGTTTTCGATCTTCGGTGTATACAGCGTCTTTACGACACTACTCCTTGCCTATTTAAGCATATTTTGTTCAAGTTGCTTTTCCGGCGGTATCTCCATGGGGTCGAATGTTCCCAGGAGGCCTGCTCGATGCACAAATTCGGCAACGTAGCGGATCGCTGTGGGTGGTTAAGTATGAGTTATAATCCGTGGAGCTGCCAAGTTCCATATGCGCCCGAATCTTGCCTCGCATGGTCTTCTTCTTGAGTGTACAACGGTCACTTTAGGAGAATGTGTCTCAGATCAATATCAATGCGTACCATTTCATGTTACTGAGCTGGGAAAGGAAAGAGGGGATCGGATCGCATCTTATTCCGCCACCCAATGGAAAGTCATCAACCAACTAAACCTCTTGCTCGAGCTACAAACCAAGAAATCTCTGGAATTCTGGTCTGACCTGCGGAAAGTGTCAGTTCGTCGCTTTGCACTGGGCGCATCCGTCTGGCATTGCCGACCAACGCGAAACCAGACGGTCGGTTACATCTTGCTCAAGTGCTCGCTGCTCCAGGACGAGCTTAACTGGATAAGAAATGCTTTATCCGACGGTGGAGTCATTCTCCGACGCGACGAGCTCCTGTGTAGTCAGAGTCTCGCATAATTATGGCAAAATTCATAGTCTGGACGGGTGCCTAATGGCTCTCGGGGCTGGCACCCTTCAACTCAAGCCGTAGTCCGGTCATATTGTAGATTCCTATTTAGTGGACAAAATCACACAACTTAAATAGATAACAGCATTTTCATCTGCACCGAGACACTGAAAGGACTTCAAGATAGAGTGTGCCACCAAGGTGCCCATCAAATAGTGGTTGGGTCGCTCAGGTTAGTCCTGAAGACGGAAAAAAGAAAAGACCCAGGGCGGTAGGCGCCTAAGACAAGACCTTACTTGTTTGCTCCTTCATGTACCACAGTAGAATGAATAGAGGGGGGTTGGTGGCACGATCCACCTAATAGGCCAGGATTTGATCATGCAACTCAAAGGCGGGTGAAGTATTGGAAAGATATGCAAAAATTTCCGATCTGTAAAAATCGTTGCTATTGTAGTGGTGAATCCCGTGACAGTAGTATATTGTCACCACTATTTCCTGTATCCGGCCAATTGGAGATATCTGACAAACTGAGGAGGTGGTCAAATACCACTAGGACCCTTCGGGATTGGCTTATTCATCGTTCACCCAATTTCCACCTAGTATGGTGTCATAACACGCCATAGTTCAACTATAAAGACCCCTGAGATCGCACAACCGATCGGGGAACCTACAATCAATCATCTTATTCTGTTTGGACATCTTCAGTACTAGCCAGTACATCGATTCCTCATCCTGACAATATCAATGACTCTGTATTTCCATTACCCCTATTTCTCACTATTTATGGTCCAATTTAGTTACATAAGCTATGCCGTCGGATCGGGAATTTGTTACGGACACAACAGCTTTTTACTACTGGCAGGGAATTATTATTATTATTAATTACTCAAGCTTTTCACGACCTTAGGTCGTATGTAGCCCCCTAGCTCGTGTGTACTGCTCCATAGGATATATACATTTGATAGCGTTACCACATGCGAGATGTTCGATTCAGATCTTCTTCCTCTTCACCCTTCAGGAGCCAACCGTCTTGTCTCCACCGCAAACGCGATGGCGGCTCTGACAATCTTAATATCCGGTTTCCAAGCTCTTCCATTCGCTACACACGAATCTCCTCCAATCTCAGGTTTACCTCCTAGCATCTGTGACAGATTACCGAAGCTCGGCCCTGTAGCCTCAATCAGCGCGCGACGCTGCTCATTCCACCGTGTACATCGAAGCAAGAAATGAGGGACTGTTTCTCGCTCAATGCCACATTCGCACAAATCACTATCGGCCTTGCCGATTCGATGAAGATATCCATTCAGTCTGGCATGTCCCGTGCGGAGTTGAGCTAGTATCGCTGCTTTCTCCCGATCCAGGCTGTCATAGAGTATCTTCGTGTGGGGTCCTGGGAGTGCCGAATCCAGCTGGCGAGTAAACTGGCCAGTGGTCCACAGTTGGAAGTGGTTCTTCCGGTGTTGTTTAGTATTCGCCCAAACCCATCGCAATGCCGACGCCCGGAGCTGGACTTGCGCCCAGGGAGGGGCTAACTTCGCAGTGGTGGGTGGCCCCATTGACACCGACTGGATTAGTTCTTTCAGGTTGGCGACCTCCTTGTAGAGCTCATGGACCTCTTTCCGCGATTCATCCAGTTCCTTGCGATATAACGCTGCTTCGGCCGCGATGGCCTCCACGTTCTTGTATGCTTCTGACATGCGTTTGCATTCCTCCGCAAGTTCGGCGTTTGCAACCCGAAGCTCGGTGTTCGCTCGTAGGACCGGTTTAAGGTAATGCAGAATCTGCTGCGCTGGGCCCTTGGTTGTCCCTGGAAGTGATCCGACTTCATTGTCTCCTTCTGCAGCAATTCCCTGTGTGGTTGTGGCCACTGGACCCTGGCGCACAAGGCCCGACCTCGTGGTGGACAAAATGGGTGCTGCGTCGGGAACGGGAGGGTCAGACGCGTCGCTGGACGCGTTCCCTCCGCGCTCGCTACGCTTCACCGGCATGTTGCCACGCAAGGGAGCTAGGTAGATTGATTAATAGGTTTGGATATGCTTACCTCTTCCTGTATTCTTTTCCTTTTGTTGGCTCACGGCTTGGCCTTCAGGTCACCCGTCGTTGAGTGGGTTCGACAGTAGATAATGCCAATGAGCGTTGACCAATGAGAAGGCAGACAGTATGACTAATAGCCAAAACGATCTTGTCGCAAACAACGAAGAAGTGGATATATCCCACAACCAATGGGGTGGTAGAGGTCTGAATTGCTGTGAAGCCCCTGTTCTGGCAATTTATGGGGGCAAGCTGACTAACTACAAAACAAGGCAATACGGCATCAATCTAAACCCAATTAGGTCCTCCAGCACCTGGATTCCGACAGATCTTTTGGAAGGCATTTGAGGTCATTTCCTCATACCTGAAAATCGACTGTCGTATATCAGAAGGCGATATTTCTGGTGGGAAGGATTGGCAAATCACCCTCTGCTGTTTGCCAAGTCAAATGGTACTGAGTTGGATCAAGTCTTCGCACCTAGTCAAGCATTTCCTGGCTTTGCTGCACATATACCCGATGCGAGAGACAATGCACCAACGTATCCTCCGACTTTGTCCTCGTTTTACGCTCCTACAGATACTGCAGGAATTGAGATAATGATCAACGATAGGTTTCAACCAGCATATTATCCGACACTCTGGCCTGTGTTAACAGACGAAACGGCAAGAGAGGATAGATCCATGCTCTGCTCTGTAGCTTACAGACTGATCTTGCAATTCAAAAAGAGACAATACGAGGACATGGAGATCGAGGTCAAGATTCGTTGCGGTTTCAGACTAGGCCGTACGCATTCGGAAGGCCGTAGGATTGATATCGGGGTTTTGTTTGCTGTTCTCGCGGAGATCTATTCTTGATACACGTATATTGAGACCAATGTCATGTTGATCTGATGGGGATATTACAAATCCTGTGTAAGGCCAATCGCTAGACGCAATAAGCCGTCGGTCGTCCTCGTCCACGATTACAGCATAAGAAAAGTTCCTATTGAATCAGACGCAACACAAGTTGATGATATGTAGCATAAATATCAAAATCCTCGACTCGCCCTACACGAAGCTACCAAATTTCCAGCGCTGCACCAGCTATGTTAAATAGTTCCATCTGCGTGCGACAGAGGACTTGTACAGGCTGTAATCTAATTTAAGGAATGTTCAATCATGGGTGTCCAGCTTTACGGCAAAATTTTTGAAAGAGCCTTTGAAAGAGATCCATGTGGGGAGTTGTTAGTGATGCCTCGATACGAGGTCTCTTTGTAGATCCACTCACCAGTCCAGATGTTGAAATCCACATCCGGCAGATTTATGTCTCCCTGCTGGTACTGTGGCTCATCGGATCACAGCATGAGCCCGTAGGGCCCGGTCCACTGGCTTTCTCCTTCCACATTTCCTTGTAAATATTGAGATCGGCGTTAATATTCAGAATCACTGCATGTATCTAAGAAACCGTCCGCTACAATTCCCGGGATAATACATTCTATCGCATCCCAAAGGAGTATTTGGTGGAATGTCGTGCGCGGACTGTTTAGTGGGTTTATGGCCCGAACGCACCCGAATAGGCTTGTTTGAAACTAGGAGCGACTTAGTCTAAACTCTATGTCAGGCAATCAAATCAGAAGCGCCCCCGGACTCCCCTCACAACCTGTTTAAGCTTCCCATGTGGCCCACGTGGCCGGGCGCAGCGCAAGGTCTGATCTTGCATCTGACTGGCCTAACTGGCCGACCCTTTTGGTGCTTCAAAGCTTATGAAGCCTTCCCACGTTGTACAGCGTCATCTGACTGGGCCAGACCAGCCGAACGCAAATCGCCCAGGAAGCCTTGGCTTGATTTCGGCGTGCCGGACAGGAGATAGTGATACGGGAAAGACCTAACGACTCGCTCAGGTTGGAAATTGATTTTTTTTTTTTTTTTCAAAGTCAAACTTGGGTGTCAACTTCAGTCTCCTGTTGTCACAACATACACCGTTCTGGTAAACGGCGAGGATCGGAAATGATAGCGGACTTTCTCTCATGAATGCGTGCAGAGGTATTATCCACTCATCTAATAATTATGGGCTTGCGCTTTGTTCATCAGGCCTGGCGTCAGTAGCAAACTTCAGGACTCGAAGGAAAGGCTCCTGATGCGCTTGAAATCGCGAAATGAATGCAATCTCGGATTGATATTTGGGCATGTTAATTCAAAATTTCACGGCTTGAAAAATCTTGTCTCCGTGGCATGCACGGTAGAAGTTGGCTAGACATTAGACTGCATCGAAGCTTGGGCGAAATCCTCGATCTGTCAGGAATTCAAACCCAAGGACATCCAACTTTCCTCGTCTACTCCTTAACCCGATAACAAAAATTCCTCTCAATATTACCGAAGGAAGTTGGTTCAAACTTTGAATACAAAGCCCATACTGGCCATGCCGCAAATCCTTCATCTAATTAACTCTGGAACGCCGTGAATCATATCCAATCAGGTTGGATTTGGACAAGGAAACTTGGATACGATGAAAAGTTACTTTGGGGATGCTTAGCTAAAGACGGTGTAGGACTCAGACAAACGGTGGGTCAGATAAGCTTTATCCTTGCCCAATTGGATCCTTCACTGCACATAGGATGGCAGGCCTCCAATCATGAGTGCGGAGAAGCGTGCGGAGTCAAACTTAGGCTTTCGCCTCTGCCACCTGGAGTCGCAGAAATGAATGGCTAGGCTGTACTGCATAGAGTTTACATAGACATTTGTAGGGTTACGGAGTAAACGTGGGGAAACTCTCCCAGTCCAAGATCCCACGTTGATCCAATCATTATTCCCAAATCCCAGACTCAGTTGTCGCTTCAGTGTTTTTCGCTAGCCCTCTTTCCCCTTCCCCCCTCCCCCAAAGTTCTCCTAACGCGCACGTGGCCGGTATTTGTCGAGCGATCATTAAATAAACTGCGTAAAGGAAAGCTGGCCGAAGTTGTTGTCAAAAACAGCCAAAGGAGACCCCCAGATGGCGCTGACCAGCGAGCAATTTCAGGCTATCTCAATTGCAGAACGAGTCGGAGGGAGCTTCTCTCTGCTCGGTTGTGCGTTCATTTTGATCACCCATTGTGCCTCAGCCTCTTTTCGCAGGCCGGTGAACAGATTAATTTTTTATGCGTCTTTTGGGAGTATCTTCTCCGCCATTGCGTCTCTAATGAGCAGGGATGGTGTTTCAAGGGGTGCAGATTCCGCCTTGTGTCTTGTGCAGGCCTTTTTCATCCAATAGTATGTTTCTTCCTCGCCGCATCAAGAACCTCGCAGATAGCTGACTGTGAGGAATGAAGTTGGATGCCAGCGGATACGTTATGGTCCTTCTGTATGGCGCTTAATATTTATCTTACCTTCTATCGAAGATACTCAGCGGAAGACTTGAGAAGGCTGGAGAAGTGGTATTTTCTTCTCTGCTATGGGTTACCGCTAGCACTTGCAACGGCGCTGTGCATCATCAATACAACTGAAAGAGGGAGGATTTATGGACCAGCCTTGGTGGGTACCTAATTCCCTAGCAGATGATTATAAGAAACTGATTACGTTGTCTAGATTTGGTGTTCAATTACCGAACCATGGCAGTTTCTCCGCTTAGTGTGTTTCTATGGTCCCGTGTGGTAGGGTTCGCGCAAAGCTCTTTTGCAGCATCGGAACTGATTTTCTTGTCTCATAGGGTCCTGAGTATCGTGACTTTTACAATCTACGCAGCAGTCGGTAGCAACATCTTCCAGAAACATCAGACTTTACAAGCGGCAATAGACGCATCACCGGACAGCAGAGCTGTTAAGGATGTTCGAACAGTTACTACGGTGGATATAATTCGGGCCACGGCAGGAGCCCTGGCTGTGGAGCCAGCAACCCCTTACTCAATTTGCATCGAAACTCACCAGTCGCAATCCGGAAGCGGCATAGACGCCCAGATCAACAAAAACAACGCATTGCGGAGCTACATGAGATATTCATTCCTATTCTTTGTGGCAATGGTAATCACCTGGGTATGAATATTCTCTTTCCTATGCAGATGTCGTCTTCCCTCTTCGGCTTTACTTCCATCACGACAGTTTACGTATTTATACAAGTTCATCTCGGGCTTTCGCTGATGGGTTCTTCAGATCCCGTCGTCTATAAATCGAATCTACAGTTTAATAGACCCTAGCCAAGCTAATTTTGGCTTGAATCTGGCAGGAGCGCTGGTTCTATCTTTACAGGGTTTTTGGAACGCCGTTATTTACATTTCAACCACGTCCGCAATAATCAAAAACATGTGGGCTTCCAACGTTAAGTCCAGACCTCTCCTACGATTTCCTTGGAGGACCTCTGGGAGGAAGACTTGTGGCATTCCGCTCGAGAACATGGGCTTTGATGGGAGGTCTGATGCAGGGAGTACCTCCTCTTTGGCGATGCGGCCACCGTTCGAGTCTTCCACTATGTCTCCTAATGCGGAATTTGATGTATAGGTAATCAGGGTTAGCTTATATGCTTCATAATCTACTGTATATATTCTAATGAATCACCTGCAACCTTGACTACCCAACGTATGTTGGGAAATCCACTAACCGGCCCCACATAATATTTTACGAATATTACTTGACCCTCCTACGGAGGGTCCGCCACCCAAACGCTACCTACCACCCAAACGCTAGATTTTCAAACATTTCAACTTCAACTTCAAATTACATCAACACACATCATAGATTTACATATTTTATTAGATAAAAGGTTATATTAGGTCCTAAACTATACAAATCAATAAAAATTGGGGTTTTTCAAACGTTTTTGAGCTCGCCCGTACTTCCTGATCTCTACTAAGGCCTTCTTCCACCTCTGTCTCTGCCGCTTTTGATCAGCTTCCTCACTTAATTTATACTCCTTTCGCTTTATTTCCTTGACTTGACTAGGAGATATAATACCAGTGATTCTTGCATGGCGTCGGGAGGCATTCCGCCGAGCAAGGCGTGCAGCTGTAGCAGCTTGAGTTGTATCGTCACTCTCGCCCTCACAATATTGATCCTTGGTCTCTTGTAAGAAGTCGGCGGGCCCTGCCGTTCTTCTGCCTGGCCTTGATGTGATTCATTTTGTGGTGAGCCAGAAACACTCCTTTCTGTTTTGACACCGTTGTCCCGCTTAGGGCGCAAATGCGGGTTCTTTTTCCAGCATTTCGAGACTTCATGGCCTCGTTTCTTGCAGTAATTGCATTTCTTGACAGACGCCTTCACTGTGTTAACTGACGGTGCTCCGCGCGGAGGAGTTGGAGAATTCTTTGCTGAAACTGTCCGTTCAGCATTTGCAAGGCGATTCCCAATCATGGCGGGATTGGCCGGATCCTTGTCATTTTGGATGGCATCAACTATCAGCGCATATTCCGGTCCGATCTGAGTTAAGAGGATTGCAACGTGTGCGTGATCCCCAATTGACCCTGGCATGATCGCATTTAAGCGATGTACTAGCAATCGGACTCGATCAACGAATTCACGTATACTAGTGCAGCTAGATCCAGTCGTTTCTTTGAGCTGGGCGAAAAGTTCGCAGAATGTAGCTAGCTCCATTCGTCTATATCGCTCTTCAAGGTCGTTCCAGAGATCTCGAGATGTTTCTAGCCCTGCAACATGAACACTGATTTCGACGGAAAGATATCGAAAGATTGTGTGATAGGCTTCAGCCTCACGTTTGGACCATTCCTGATGTCGCTCAAAAGCCTGGACTTCAGCTTCTAGACGAGCTTCGATAGCCTTCTGTCTTGGGGCTCCAATAAGGCGTTCATCAACCAGTGGAACAATGTCGGCCGTAATCGGCTTTGCGTATTTAAAAAGGCAGTTAGGGCGTTGGAGATCTCCGGACACGACATCCCAGACTTGTCTTGCCTTTAAGTAGGAGGTCATAAGATGCTTCCAAGTTGCATAACTATCACTCCCTGTTAAAGGCCCAATAGCCGCGACATTTCGGTCGGGAGACTCGGTTAGATGTGCAGGCATCGTGGCTGTGCCTGAAGTGCGGGGTAAATATAACTTCACCAAGTTGTAGTATGCAGTGGTTCTCAGAGTGAGTGGAGACGACATCCGAGAAGTTAGCAGCCTGGCTCATAACCTGTTGTACTTCAGAGGAAGATTGCTTATATTCCTTCTGGACAGAAAACTTGAGGGTTTATATACACGTGCGACCTCCAGATTGATTTCTAATCAAAGCTGGTAATTCCGTGAGGTTAGGAATTGATTCCGTCACGATATGACATATCACAACAGTAACACATGGGCCCCATCGAAACCCATATCGGTCGACAAACAGTGCAAACACAGGAAGAAGCATGACTGCATATTTTATGTAGTTCGAGGCTGTAAGGTAGAGCTTAGGATCAATATCAATTGGCCTCAATTTTGAATTAAACAACCTGATCTTTTATATACAGCTAATAATACGCCCAATTCTCGTCATCTTGTCTTAGACGCTTTCGGGCTCTCACTGATGTACGCATCTGAGTGCTTCCCTGCTCAAATTTAGACAGCGGAAGATCAGCCTCATCATTAGAGATATGAGCCTGCTGGGCGTCGTCTTTATCTCCGCTCTCTTGTATAACCTTATCCTCCTCGGTAACGTGGTTCATCACCTCGCCGATCATATCATCTCGCCGATCACTTTTTCGACACAACACCATCACAAAGAGTAATTAGACAACCAATTCACTTCAATTAATTAAGCCTACACAGAACCACATACTCCAGATATTTCTACTTCGACCTGGCATGTTCGTGTATTATGCTCGGGCTCACCGCCAGTTACCACATCGCCGTGTAGTCGCCCGCCTCTCCCTGTTGTAATCCCGATTTCGACGTATATCCCGCGCTAACTGTTCCTCGATCTCCTTCTGGGCCAAAATATCGCTTACATCCTCTCCAGTCAAAACACCTCCATGGCAGACACGTGCTTTTTGGCCCTCCGGCGTTTACTAAGTGCTTCGTTCGCCTTCCGAATCATACGGTTTTCCTCTATCAGCAGGGTGTTCTGGTGGGCGATTGCTTCCATACCCTTGGCTAATTGCTTGACAGCCGAGAAATTGGTGTTGGTGAGCTTCCTTGATGACCATCAATCCGAAATTTTACAAAAGTAGACTGCGAAATGGCCTCGGTCGGGTTATGTGGCGTTTGAGAGACCCAAGCGTTCAAGTGGGTATCAGGGGGGGGTCGTGGGTGTTGGCGTCCGTAGCTTGATGTCCAGCTTAGAGATGACGGCTTGCGGGTCAAATGGGACGAGTCCAGCACCTCGAAAACCACTGGCAATGTTTTCCTTGGTCATTGTAGCATTGTATGCCGCGTGAAAGGCCAAAAAGAACTCGACTTTAGTGATGTGGTTAATATGGGCCCGGATGAACGACTCGATCTGCTTGCCGTATACCCTCTTTAAAGGGCCAAAAAGTCCGACATCGAGTGGCTGGGTCAGGTGGGAAGAATGAGGCGGTAGACAGACAGGAATGATGTTGTTGTCTTTGCAATAAGTCTCGAATTCCACCGACTGGTGGCTCTCGTGCCCGTCCAATACCAACATCCGATACACACACATTGTCCGCGCCCTGGTACTCCTATCAAAGTGTTGAATCCAATCTAGGCCGGTGTTACTATCGGTCCAACCATTTGAAGTCGGTTTGATAGCCCAGGTAGGAGGAAGGCCGGTTTCGGAGTACCAATTAGAGAGGTGGTATTGGCCTTGGACTAGTAGAAAAGGAGGCACGTCAAAGCCGTCACCACTCACGCAGGTAATCGCCGTCGCCCATTCTCGGTTACCAGGTTGAACTGCCTTGCCCTTCCCACGACGATCGGATCGGGTAACGACCATTGAAGGGCAGATCATACCCATCATAAACCCAGTCTCGTCGAAGTTGTATAAATCGCAGTCCAGAATGCCGTACTTAGCGCGCATGTTGAACACAAGTCGGAACCACGCGCTAATAAGTTCAGAATCTTCGCAGAGAGCTCTCTGCAAGTCATAGGCGCGAGAAAAACGCGTGCGCAGCTCATCTCGTCGCTTAATAAAGCGATATGGCCATTGCTTTCCGACGCGTGGCGCGCCCCGCGACGCGAGAATGTAATCGGCCATTTCGCGCACACCTTCGATTGCGGGCGGAAATCCTCGTGAATCTAGGTCTAAAATGTGTTGAACTATGACATCCTCTTCTATCTCAGTCAGGCTCCGAGCGACAGGCCGGTAATCGGTTTTAGGGGTGCGGCCCTTCATTCTGTCGGCGAGTGTGGTATAAGGAACATTGTAGATCTTTGCAGCAGCACGGATGCTTAATTTCCTGGAGGATCGGATAGATTGAATGGCAATAATAATTCTGGCTTCTTTTGATTGGGCCTGCATTATTCGTTGTGGAGATATTACATGAAAAATGTGGAAGGTGGTACTGTGTCGGGAAAGTGGTCGGCGAGGTGATATGATCGGCGAGGTGATGAACCACGTTAGGCAAGATAAGAAGCAAGGCCAATTAAGTATGTATACTTAATTGTAACGTTAAGTGCGAACGAATCAACTAAGAGAATCCGAAAACAAGTATCAAACTTATAACAAAGTGATATATTGTTAAGAAACGCAAAGAACTAAACTAGTACATGTAGTATGAGTGACTTTATATATCCAACAGTCAACATAGTCAACATAGTCCTCGTTTGACCAACTATGTTATAAACAACTCTCCCTCATAAACCCCATACAGTACACTCTGGCTGGGGACGACACTTAAAGCTCTCCTGCTTGCCACTTAACTGCCACTTGCACCTGGTCCAGGCTAATCCTGGGCCTTTGTCTCATGCTCGGTCTTGGCGCTCAAGGTCGCAACAGTGGGAATCAAACTCACGCACTCAGTGGTCATGCACTCTGCGCTCATAACCATTTGTTTTTACCACTAGACCAAAATACGAATCCGTACCCAGTCGAGTGTATGGTGGTTTATAAACAACTGATTGCGACAGGTTGGGGTAAATGAAACCATCCATCCATCCAGCCAGCCTGTATACAGTACAGATTAGGTGTTAAGTCCACATTGTCTCCCCTACACAAACCAGCCTGTCTCACAGTGTCTCATCTTCAGCCAACATCCTCACAAACTTTCACGCCAAGTCATCAGGATGTCAAATGTCGGTATTTGTCACTTAGTGTAGTTCGTAGCTTTTGAATTTACGAAACGGATACTTGAAACCGTTGTTTCCAAGATGTCCAATGTATTTATGCCCCTTGCATCCAGGCTCTTCATAAGCGATGAAACCTTTTGGATCCCAAAACAATCGAGTGGCAGGGTCGAAGATAATACCAACGATTAGGTCGTTGATGGAGGATGGAAGGTTTTTGCAATTGACGTCGAATGTGCCACTTTCGAAGGCGGAATTGTAACCGCCAGCGCCAAAGAATTGAAGTTTCCACGCAAAGGATTGAGACACAAGGACAAACCCCGTGGACAGACTGAACAGATTTGTGACCCTCATTGTGGTAAATTATAAAACTATTTGATGAAGTTAGCACTGGTCTGAAACATCATAGCCTATTGACTCCTCACTGATCAACTTCAAACACTTGTGACAACTGCTTTCTTTGAATCTCCGTTTGGATGTCAAAATGCACAGGGACAGAAATTGATGGGACTTTCCTCTCTCAAATATGAATTTTGGCAGCTTGGCAATTTTCAGCAGAAACACAAAATGTGAATACAATATTCCAATGGTTCCTTCTTGTGGAGAGAGTTTGTTGACAGTATCGTAAATAAGGTTTTTTTGCAGTCAAGGAACAGTGTGTGTATGGTTTGGCAACAATGGGTCACCTGTCACTACGGTCTCATACAAGTGTGTGCACAGTGCCGACGAAAAAGTTTGAAACCACCGTCTTTACCGCTTTGCCACACCGCCTTCTTATGTAATATACAGTGACGCAGCAAAAGTTTTAACACCCCTTAGTTAATGGACCCACCCGTTATTAGTAATATTCTGCCGGTTTTAAATCTTCGTGCCATTAAAACTAATAACCGGCCCCACGTAATTTTTACCAAAACTGCGTATACCAACCCTGGCTCTCAATAATAGCCTGCACTCGATGCGGCATCATCTCAGAGAGATGCTTCAGATGATCTAAATTCAATTGATCCCACGCAAGCTGAGCCGTAGCTACTTAAATAGCCTTGGTTTGCTCGTTATTCTTCATATGAATCAGGTCAGGCCGAAGTTTGTAAATCTCAGCTTTCATCAACGCCCACAGGTTCTCGATAGGGTTCAAATCAGGCGAATGTGGAGGCTATTCCATAACTTCAATCTCTAGATCTCGTAGTGCATCTCGGACAATATGTGCTGTGTGTGTTGGCACGTTATCATGCTGAAAAATGCAGTCATCGTTGGCTATCAAGATAGGCAGGATTTGGAGGTATAAATCTCGGATCACGACGCTATTCACACCTCCACGCTCCGACTTCGGATCTCCGAATAGAGGAATCAGCCCAGTTCGACGCGTAGCCCCCGAAAAAGCAGCCCAAAACATCTGCTTAACTTGCTTCCCTCTTTGTGGGAGACCTTAGATGGGAGGCCTTAGACTTGTCCGAGTCGAGGCTGGTCTTTTAGACGGGTGAAAGTCCATTCACGGCGTACTCCAATGCCTCTTTCAACCGGACATTCATCAGACCAAAAAACCCGGGCCCAATCTTTAGGCGTAAAGTGTTGATATTTGTAAGCCTATTCAGCCCTTTTCTGCGCGTGTTCTTCGGTCAAATAAGGTCTCCAACTGCAGCGCCATTTTTAAAGATTCTCAGCATTTAAGAGACGTCGGATCGAGTCGATTTTAACTCTGTGGGAGACCTCAGTAAGGAGATCCTCGCGTGTAACCCGAGGGTTCTCCTGCATAGCATCAAGAAGACGTACTTTATTGGCTTCATTCAGCTTTTTTGGTCGACCCGATCGAGGCTTCGAGAACCCGGCACGCCTTTCTTGCTCTTTCTTAATAGTATAGCGTATTGTGGAGAGAGAAATCCATGGATATCTCTTATGGATTCGCTTATAACCCCACTGGACGGCCGAATGAAGCTCGCAAATCCTTTCACGGAGTGCCGGTGTAATTTCTGAACGTGAAAGCATTATCAAATGGCCTATAGCAAGAGGTATGCTTAATAAAAAGGGGAAGAAAATAAGAAGATAGGGAAAAACGCGGCACGCGCTATACATTCGACCTAATTAGCGTGTTTAGGCTAGGCGGTGTAGGCAGTAATAAAAGGCGGTACAAGAGTGGGTCTAGAGGGGTGTTAAAACTTTTGCTGCGTCACTGTAGTTACTAACAAATCGATGCACGATTCTGTGGAGACATGCATTGGGGACACCCCAAATTGCTACCAGGACGCCCCGACCGACAAAAAACAAGTGCTCAGGCGTCAACCAAAGCACCTAAGCGATGCAGCGGCTGTCGGAGTCTTGATCATACGTAAAATAGATGTCCTGAGAGAGAGTCAGGAATTTCATGGTGTTTTCGTGGAGATAATACATTTCTTTGGAGAGTGATGGAGACGGGCGAGTGGCTTGCTCGGGGTGGGCGGCTCGTATGGGAATTACGTTATGTGATTTCATTTATGAATAATTCGAGGCTATTTTAGTGGAGTAATTTGCGATTGAAAATGGGCGATTTTTTTGGTGAGGGCATGGAGGTGGAGAAGCGACCAGTCCTAGGTAACAAGGCCAAAGCACCAGTCCAGCACGATCATCGATGAGGTATTTTTTCTATTGGATACTTGTGATGGCACAGTACCTGCAGTTACCAAGCAAAGAAGCCACGAAAGAACGGAGCAGCAATCACGACCAGGCAGACACGAAGGAGCGGGGTCACACGTTCACGGCACCAGGACCGACACAGGCGAAGTGGTAAACCATCGAATCGAGAATGAAGGGAGAATACCGAGGGAAACGAATAAGTCGAACAATCCAGGCATTTGCAGAAAGAGTGCTGAAGTATTGGTTGAGTGATCGCTTTGTGAAGGAATTGTTTATGTCGCGTCGCTCGGGGAACATGGAGTGCATATATTGTTAGGGAGATGTGTGTTGTTATTGGTCATCTAAGCTACAATGGAGTAACGTAATCGATAAGCGAGCGGAACATGTAAGCGAGCGGAACACCCTACCAACCCCATTAAATTTAAACCAATTTATATACACCATAACGCCAATTATATACAAAAAAAGTCTAACGAGGGCGCTTAGGGCACTGTAACCTTCTATGCCCTAATTCACGACAGTCACTGCACCGCGGGGGTGCGCGTCGAATTGGCTCCGAAGCGTTTTGAATAGCTTCATGCGCTTGGTCCGATTGGCCTTCGGACACCTGGTTTGGCGTTGATATTGGCGCTGGCGTCTCCCCAATAGTAACCCCGCTTTCAAACGCTAGGCGCTTTGTAGATTTGGTGCGTTTAGATGTCTGCTTTGCGTTGGCGGCGCGTAATAGCTTGCATTGCTCAGCTAGAAATGTGTTGTTATGCATCGCAATTTCGCACCCCTTAATAATCTGATCTAACGCACGTTGTGTAGGGCTAGAAGGGCTCTGCGAGCGCTGACGTAGTAGCACTTTTACCGAAGAAGCTTGTTTATCCAATTGGCTTGGATTTTGGGGGGTTTTTAGTGAGAAATCACTACCCCTACTCCCTGGTGGCGTTGGCGTTTTGAGCTGGATATTGAGGTTTTGAAGCACTGTTTCGGCATTGAATGGCACTAAACCTGCTGCTGCAAAGCTATTTTTTATAGTCTCTGCTTTATAGCTTTGAGCGCGCGCAATTGGGTAAGCTTGTAAGAACCAAGCTTAGATATTGAATTCAACCCGGCGCAGATCTCGGTCTCAATCTCTTTACTATAACGTAATTCACAAGCGAGTCGATCACACAACCGAGTCGATCAGCCAACTACAGTCATAATTTTGATTTGCATATATTACCACCACAGCGCAATTAAATTAATAGCTACTGCTTCGGACATCTATTTATCTCATGCCCTATCACTCCACATCCACTGCATCTTGGTGGAGCCCGAGTTCGTTGCGTACTGGCCTGATTTGCGATCTCCACGGAGGTTGTAGCTTCGGCTTCAGCTGGCTGTTGGCTGGCCTGTATCAACGCACGCGCCTCTGTAGCACCTAATGCTGTATCATGAGATATTTGGCGAGTGGATCTTGATTGCTTTTGCTTATTCTTTGTATTTGCAGCACGTAGGCCCCGGTTTTCTTCGGCTAAAAGCACTGCGCTATGCATAGCCATATGGCAGCCCTTAATCAGTTGATCAATGGCCGCTTTGGTGGGCGTAGGAAGGCTTTGAGATCGATATTTAAGTAGTGCCTTAACCGAAGATGCCTGCCGATGTAGCTGCTTAGAGTTGTGTGGTGTTATAGGCATAAAATCGGCTGAACTGTTGCTTCCACGGCTTCGGGGTGGTGTTGGAGCTTTTAGCCGAATATTGATCTTCGAAAGGACTTGAGTACGATCAAATGGCATAATCCTGTTGCTTTGAAGCCACTTTGTATAGTGGTATCTTTAAATGCTCGTAGACGGGCCTCAGGATATGCCGAAAGGAAGTCAAGCTTGTCGATATGGTTGATGCCATTCCGAGTTAGGCTTTCGACAAGCTCACCATATGCACGCTTTAGGGGGGCAAAGCAAGCCACGTCAAGTGGCTGGAGTAAATGCGTAGAATGCGCTGGCATGTAAATTGGTATAATATCATGTTCCGTGCAGATTTGATCGAATTGAGCCGTTAAATGACTGCCGTGTCCATCAAGGACTAGTAGTCGATATTTGCCCTTCGAGCGGCCTTTAGTGTATGGAATAAAGTGATTCTTAAGCCAGTTAAAGCCAATATCGTCAGTAGTCCATCCATTTGCGCTTTTGTCGATTTTCCAGCCATCCGGAAGGTCATCAAACCACGATTCGATGAAGACTTTGCCCTTAAAGATGATATACGGTGGAAGGTGCCAACCAGCGGCGTTGATTGATTCCACCGCAGTCACCCACTCACGATTCCCAGGTTGTAGCATCGATCGTTTCCCATAATATTCGGCACGAGTGATCACTTTAGCGGTCGCAGTTAGGCCCATTGCGAAGCCAGTCTCATCAAAATTGAAGATATCCTCGTTGGCGATGCCGTACTTGGCTATAACTCGCTGTACAGAGTCGAACCACTCGCCAATGACATCTGGGTCTTCGCATTGTGCCCTTTGGTAGTCGTATCGACGACTAAAGCGACTCGCGATCGTGTCTGCATGACGTTTAATGAAGTTTGGGACCCAATTAATGCCAACGGTCGGAGGACGTGTAGGTCCACGGCTTGCGAGTAGTAAGTTGGCCATATCTTTAGCCAGGCTTGGCCGGGGAGGATTTCCACGTAGATCCATAGATAGTATCCATTCAATAAGCGATTCTTCTTCGAACTGGTCAATTTACGACCATTTGCGCGTGATTCTTGTCGGTATTGCTGACCGCGAAGCCGGCTATATAACGTGCCAAAGGGCACATCAAAACGGCGCGTAGCTTCACGAATAGAAGAGACTTCATGGTTTTTGATGGCTTTAAGAGCTAAGAGGATCCTACCTTCCTGCTCGACACGTTTTTGGGCATTTTGAGAGCGAATTGGTGGCATAGTGGGTGGTGGAAGGTAGTGGAAGATTAAATAGGGGACGCGACCGCGTTGGCTGATCGACTCGCTTGTGTGATCGACTCGCTTGTGTGATCGACTCGCTTGTGTGATCGACTCGCTTGTGGATTACGTTATGCGCGCTTTAAGACACTAAAACAACCAATATCAAGAGGTGTCAGGATGTCGGATACGTGTATCATCTAGTATCGAGGGACGGCCAATTGATGCATGAGATGGATTAACGAGAGTGTGTGTGTGTGTTCCGATCTGTTGAAAATGATCCAGGGGCTATAAACTGCGTATTACATCACAGTTCTTCCGAGAATGACCCGAATTACCATACAATTACGATTGCAATGTGGGTGGATGCTGAATAACCAAGAGCAGTGGAGAATCCACAGTATTTTACCTCTCTCAGAGTTGACAAGAGGTTGTAAAAGATGTGACGAATGAGCAGGCATACAAAGAGGTATAATCTTGTTTTGCTCGCAGATCTGATCGAATTGCGGGGTTAGATGACTCCCATGTCCTTCAAGAATCAAAAGACGCCAAGCACCTTGTGATCGGTGATTTATCGCAGGGATGAATAGAGATTGAAGCCATCGAAGCCCTATTTCATCGGTAGTCCAGCCGTTTTGGCTAACTTCGATCCGCGAACCGATTGGAAGAGAGTTATCTAACCAGCCTTCGGTATAGCCTTTAGCTTTGAAGATAATGCATGGTGGGAGAGCGTATCCCGATGCGCCAATACATTCAATTGCGGTGACCCATTCGCGATTCCCGGACGATAAAAGCTTTGCTCTACCGTAGTATTCTGCTCTAGTGACAACCCTCGTAGAAGATATCACGCCCATCGCAAACCCTGTCTCATCGAAATTGTAGATATTGTCGGGATGAATACCATATTGAATTATAGTCTGTTGGATGGTCTCAAACCACTGCCGAATCGTCTTTGGGTCTTCGCATTGAGCGCGCCGATAGTCATAGCGGCGTGAGAAACGCATTGTAAGCTCCGGCTGGCGTTGTATAAAGTTAAACACCCATTTCTCGCCGACTGTCTGAATGGGGGTAGTGCCACGCTCTGCCAATAGAATATTAGCCATTTCTCGTACATGAGACTGCCGGGGCGCTGCGCCACGCGAATCCATAGAAACTACCCATTTTAGAAGCGATTGCTCTTCTAAAACAGACAATTTATAATTGTTGGCGCGTGTATCCGACCGATTTGTGGTGCCGGCGAGCCGGCGGTGTAGTGTGGTGAGGGGTATATTGAATTGGCGCGCTTCTTCGCGAATCGAGGGAATTTGCTTCTTCTCAATAGCTTCAATAGCTAATAAGACCCTGCCCTCTTGCTCGGCGGCTTTTCTGGCATTTTGGGAGCGAATTGGTGGCATAGTGAGTGTTTGAAGAGAGGGGATGCGCGATCGCGTCGCGATTTTGATGGGGTGTTCCGCCCGCTTACGAGTTACGTTAATAACTATCAGTCTCTCCGATCGACAAATACTTTACCCCATATTTGCTCGTCTCCACGACGTAACCCGAAATCAGCATTGAGCACTCTACCATTGTGCCTAACCGGCGGTTCTTTCCTTCCCGCACTCTCTCGGTAGTTTTCATGTCGCGCAGAAACGCGCTCAGACGGTGACCATACTGCCCTTCATTTCGATTCCCCCCCCCAAAAGAGCTCGTATTCAACGAGGGGGCTAGGTCCCCTAGGAGTGGAGATAATTCTATCCATTCTTGATAATACAATGTCGAATGGCGTCATTTGCCCCCCAATGGTGGCGTAACCTAAAAGGGCCCAGGTCCCCTGAAACCATGTTCTCCAGACGAGTGGCGTCCGTCGGATCGTTGTCATTCTTTACCTAGGTACGGTGTAAATAACAGTGGAGAAATGTTTCTGAATATTACTACCGAAACCAACCGCGTGTCATCGATACCAGGTCAGGAGATTTGCTCCCATCTACGATTCTGCAAGTATTCATCTCTTCGCCTAGTGAACTTCGCGCTAATGGACACATATTGGGCAGTCGCAGATTGGCCGACGGAGCTTGTCAAACAAGATGTGTTAGAGCTCTGAGGTTCTGAAATTTATGTCGCTCTGCCCCAGCTTAACCAGGGAAGAATACTTGTATGTATCGTTATGTCAGATATATTGTTTCTGGTTACCGTCAATATCTGGATCTTACAGCTTATTTACAAACATTAGAGTTCGTGGCGTTTCCATACTGCCTTGATGATAGGTGAAATCCCGATTCGAGAATTCTAGACATTCCTCCGCATCTTCACTAACACATTTGGAATGAAGGAGGGTTTGGCGAACTACCGCTAGCTTGAAGTTGTCAGACTCAAGCTTCTTCCAGGTAGAACGGGCTGTATGGCGGCAACACCTTTGTGCGCAAATACTTACCTTTGGCTTGCACAGGGAATCGGTAGGAGAATCTAACAATAAGCTTTCACCCTGTCGCTGTCCGCCCCAGGTTTTGGCTTAGCCATGTGTTTTGGTTCATGGCACATAAGTGCAAGCGGCCGGTTGGGCGAATTATTCTTCTCTGGGGGTTACCTACCTTATCGCCACCACGTGCTTTTCTCAACCTGGTGGTCCTGGTAGAGGCCCCCTTCGTTACAAACCAAACGACCTATAAGGCTGTGATTTTACCTTGTAAGCAGTTTCAAGAGTTAAACCGACCCCATGACGTTGACTGACGAGCAACTTCGAGCTATCTCAATGGCAGAAAGAGTAGGAGGTAGCTCTTCTCTGCTGGGCTGTGCGTTTATTGTAACGACTTATTGTGCATCTCCCGCTTTTCGCAGGCCAGTCAACCGGTTGATCTTTTATGCGTCGTTTGGAAATGCCTTCTCTGCCGTTGCGTCACTGATGAGCAGGGATGGAGTTACAAAGGGCCGGAATTCTGCCTTATGTCTCGCACAAGCATTCTTCATCCAATAGTATGTCCCTCACCCTCTATGCCACGTTTTCAGAATCTAATTGCTGTGACTGAAGTTGGATGCCAACGGACTCGTTGTGGTCCTTTTGTATGGCGGTTAACATATATCTTACTTTTTACCGGAAATACTCAGCAAAAGACCTCAAAAAGCTTGACAAGTGGTACTTTCTTCTATGCTACGGGTTGCCACTGATAGCAACGGTACTAAGCCTCATAAAGTCTACTGAAAGGGGAAGGGTCTATGGGCCAGCTTTGGTAGGTACTTCCCAAACGCCTTGCCAACTACGGGTATAAAACTGACTCCCAATTAGATATGGTGCTCAATTGCAGAGCCGTGGCAATTTCTTCGTTTAGTGTGCTTCTATGGTCCAGTGTGGTAGGGACAAACAATACTGTTTTGCAGCAGCGGATCTAATTTCGTTTTCACAGGGTGGTGAGTATCACAACTTTTGCGATCTATGCCACAGCCGGCGTCCACATTTATCGAAAATTCAAGGCTTTACGATTGGCCAAAGACACTCTACCTGTCAGCAAAGTAATCAGCATTACTCGATCGGTCACTTCCAATGTAAATGCCGCTGCGAAAGCCTTGGCATTTGAGCCAGCTACGCCATATTCAACCTGCATAGAGTCCCAGGAATCCCAAACAGGAAGTGGGTTAAGCATCCAGGTCAACAAGAACAAAGTGATGTGGAGTTATTTGAGATTGTCCTTCCTCTTCTTCATAGCCATGGTAGCTACCTGGGTATGGATATCCTGATCAACCCCTTTCCCAATGCATACGGCACTCACAAGCCATTACTGACGAGGCTTCCAGACGCCATCATTTGTCAATCGAATTTACGGTCTGATCAACTCTAGCGAACCAAACTTTGGCCTGAATTTGGCTGGAGCGTTTGTCCTCTGTCTGCAGGGATTTTGGAACGCCATTATTTACACATCAACCGCGCTCCCAATATTGAAATCCCAGTGGGCTTCCATGACCACATCCAAAACATACTGGAGGCCACCTGGGGGAGTCGTCGAGAGAGAGACTACTGATGTTTCGCTCGAGGACGTGGGATTTGATGGGAGGTCTAATGCAGCCAGCACATCCTCTTTAGCGATCTCTCCACCAATTCAGTAATCAAAGCTCTGGCCGTTCGAGGCTTATATGAAGGACTGCCTAGACTCAGTCACAAAATATTTATAGAGGCTCGATTTTCAATATATATTTCCAGCTCTCCAGCTTTCCCATGAGTGAGCAGGCCAACCATTCTACCTACAGTGGGCGTGGTGATGTTGCAACCTTGGTAGCAGAACGCTGCATGTTACAGAATACCCAGCAAATGGCCAAGAAATTCCATAACCAAGCAAGGGATATAATTGGAAACACTAGGCAGTTGGTCTAAGGCTGGAGGTTACAGTGTTGTTTTTTGGCAACTGTAGTAAATGCAAGCTTTTTCACTTCCAATCGCTAGTCATTGAGGGTAACAAACCAGGCGAGTCCTCAGGCATACCATGAAGGAAGGAAGAAATACAACACGAACACTTGTATCCAGGATGAGTAGTAACAAAAGATCCGTGGTTTCATCACATCCTCGCAACAACAACCCCGAGCAAGCAACAAGCTTCTCCCCAAGTTGAGTGGACTTTACTGTATTTGGGTTGGACCCACATCTCATAACAACTGTAAGATAACATAAATTTATGCTGGTAAATCCGGTACTATTAATTATTTTGAATTTTATGTGATCTGCCTAAGCCAATTTATTATTCCTTAGTACTCAGCGCTATGCCAAAAGATCACGGGATGTAGAAAGGTAAAAACACCGCCACATTCAGGGTTGCAGTATGCAGTGCGCTAGCTTGTTATTGCAACATTAGTCCCTTTTTCTGAAGAGCAGGCCAGGGTCATGGTCCCAGGTGCACGGTAACACGCATACGCAGTTCGCGAAGGATACATGTAACTTGGGATTAAGATTTCAATAGCTCATTCTCTCTTCCCACACTACCCCACATAGGCGACCAGAAAAGCTTGTAGCTACTGAAATTCGCAAAGTGGGGGACGCCGTATTAGGAAAAGTCAAATCCTTCGGCTCCGCGTGCTCACATGCGAACCAATACGGAGTAGAGAGAACCCAAATAATGCCACGGGCAGACCTTGGAGAAAACTTTCTCACGACAGCGTCCCTTCACTATGTCCACTACTCCTCATCGACTTAGCATTAGCTATCTACTTAATGCTGCTTCGGATTCTCCAGGGTGCGTAATTACTGCTGATGCTACGTCATCCTTCCCAATACCTCATCCGCTCCAAGAAGCCTCTTTCAAGTCAATGCAAAGAAAGTTGCTTCATATCCTGAATGAAATCTGGATTTTCCTTTGGCGGTCGAACAACTCACCCCAGATAACTAGACGTTTGACTATGTAGTCTACAACGGAGGCTGATTGCATGATTAGGAAGCATGTCCCGGCTTTCTCGTCGGTAGATCAAGAGGATTTGACAGAATCGATACATCCTAGGTCCCAATTATCATCTTCGCTCCAAAATGCACGTGCTATAAGAACTGCTGAGTTGATGAACGACTATCGAACCCTGCTACTTCATATAATGGAACAAACCTCAAGCTTACCCTTGGGTGGCGCTCTCCAGAAGGGCTATTTGGTACTGAATCAGAACCGTGCAGCTGCCTTGGACTTGTTACGTACCAGCTACAAACCCTCTGCTGCTGCCGACTACAGAGGGAACGAAGACACTCAAACGTCCCAGCTGAGAGAGTAAGCGAAGCAACACCTCATTTCTGCGCCTGCTGAGTAACGAATTAATTGTACAGAATCATCCTTGACGCGAGTGTTCGTCGCCACATAGCATACAAAATTTATCTCCGCGTTGCCGCCGCTAAACGATGGGAGATAAACCGCATGAATTCAGTGCGTGGTGGGGAACAGGATGAGGTTACTGCACGGCTGCGAGTGATCGACTGGACGCTACAAAATGTGGGTTAAAATGCACTCCGTTCGTTCCACTGTCGCTAAGAAGATTCGAAACCAGGAACTATGCAATATTTCCGATCAGTCCATTGCTTCACACCTTTTCGCAGCTGATGAAAGAGCTGGTTACTGGCTGAACGAAGACCCTCCTCTGGAATCAATCATATTTCGCATGCGGTCAGAGATGAAAGAATAGAGTTGAATCCAGCGTCGAATTGTTTTCACTAATTTCACCTAGGCCTAAGGTATGGAGGTGCCCAGAGGTAGCAGGCGCATTGACCCTCGTGTATACTATTCGGCACGCAACAGTTTTCGAAAGAATTGGAACCTATTCTTAATAAAAGCTGATTTACGACTTAATACGGGTTAGCGTGTTTTCGGATAAAGGACAAGAAACAAAATGTGTGTGTTGATAGGACGATATGGAGTTGCGTGTCCCTATCAGTGCTTTATTCTTGTTACAATCCGGTTGCAATAAGAAAATTTATGCATTTAGCTAATCTTTGGTAGGAGCGCTCAGAAAGCCGGCCACCACAGCTGTAAACCTTAACAAGCGCCTGTGAGAGGCCAAACTTGCGGGCTCCTTGTCCACAAGGGCTACTGTCTAGTGTCCCTATACACAACGTCTGAGCGCGATGAAGGAAATGTCGTTGGAAGTTGTTTTGATACATCTTTCGGTTGGGCAAAAACGAACAGGGATCTTTGAGAATAGGCCTTAATCAAAGCAGGAGGATAGATTCCCCATGTCCAGATATCTAAGCGTTTGGTAGCAAATTTCAGGCGGCATGAGTTCGAGCAGGGCTAATAAACAGGGATAGCATGGAGCGTCAGGAGACGGTAAAATTTCAAAAATGAAGATAGCAGGGTGGATGTAAAGTCTTCCATTTTGTTCAAGTAACGGTTTATTCCGGGGAACAAAGGCTGAGTATCAGGGACCCGAGGGATCAGTTCGATTTCGAGGTCCCCGTGGGCAAAGTGACCCTTTGTTTGAGTTAGAGCCTGAGCAGAACAGCCATGTTCAAAGTTAACGTCAAATTCTGGCCAACTGTGTAAAGCAGGAGGATCCAGTCGGTCAAATGGAAGAGCACAGGGAACGCATAGTGGCAGTTCCCTCGGCACTTACATATTTTGCACCATTCACGAAGCATTTTCAGGTCAGATTACTCGTAGAAGCAATGACGAAGATGCCAGATATCTGTTTTCCCTGTTCGCCAAAGGTCGCGTAAACCGTTTATCTTCAACTTTTTAAAACACACAGAGACAGATAGATCTTGCAGACTCGAAGTAACACAGCCCATTATAAGCACACAGCCATAACAGATCGCCGCCACGAAAGCGCGATAACCTACCTCACCCTCTCTGTCAAGATGGCCTCCAATAACCCGCAACCCAAGCGACCTCCAACCAATTTCTTTCCTGCAACACCCAAGTGGGCCGCAATTGTAGAGGCTGGAGCATCCCGGAGTCACCGTCATCAACAATTCCAGGAGGGAAACAACTCGACGGCAATATTAGGGCCCCAGAGATTCCACAGGGCTGATAGCGGGAACAAAGGGGCGCGCTCTTCTAAGGTCCCCATTTTGAATGAAGACCCATGGGCTGACTATGGGAAGGGCATCGAAATTTTCCCCAAGCGGCATATTTTTCTCGCCAGGCACCGTGAGAACAATGAGGAGCTGGTCCATGTGCAGCAGCTCGAGGAGGTCGTGTTTCCGCGTGGAAACACAACCCCTCCTCAATACAATCACCTGTCTCTCGCATCGTAGCTTCCTTCGCCTTCTCCGCTGTTATCAGTATGAGGGGCTAGCCTTCTTGGTTTGGGAGCCCGTGGAGTTGTCTTTGTCACAGATTATCGGGTCCAAGTACTCGATACGGGAGGCCGAGCTTGTCTCTATAGAGTGGCCAGTCAGTACTGACTTAAGAGCCATGAGATTAGCGCCGCAGCTCACCACGCTCCAGATTCTAAAGGGAATTCGACACCTACGGGACTCGAACCGGGCACTTGCCTCGCTCACGAACGAGACAATTTTGCTGACCGATTCTGGGAGTGTCAAGATCGGTATGTGCCGTTGCCATAACTGGCGTCCAAATTAATGCCAGACCCAGAGGTGTGTACTGACGTCATATCGCTTCTCTGGTATCTCAGCGGAAATCGAACGCAGTTGCGAAATTCATGCAGCAGACATGAATGCAGTCATGCTGAAGCTGTTTGTGTTGTGATATGTCATATCGTAACGGAATCAATTCCTAACCTCACGGAATTACCAGCTTTGATTGGAAATCAATCTGGAGGTCGCATGTGTATATAAACCCTCAAGTTTTCTGTCCAGAAGGAATATAAGCAATCTTCCTTTGAACTACAACAATAAGCGGTAGAATCTCTTTCAGCCTTCCTAGCTAGGCAAACGCGCTCTGTCCTGATATAGGTCTTACGGGAAACGGAGCGAAGTGGCACTCCATGCTCGACGGAGATTGCTACAGGGCGGAAAACGACGAAGCGTGCAGCAAAGGCGGCACATTTTGAGCCGGGGCCTCAACGACAACATACGACGCGCTTATCTTGCAACCGTGAATACAAAGAAGAACAGCGCGAAAATATTGAGCGGGAAAAAAGACGACCCGGGAGGCAGAAGGACTTCAGCAAGAAGCCTTCCCTCCGCCGGCCAAAGAGGCTTGGGTCTGTCCGCATAGTGCCAATTATATAGAATTGATCTTCCACAGTCTAGGTTGTCGATGCCTTTGATAATGGTAATTGAAATTGACCGTATTTTTGCATTCCCCCGGGTGATCTATTTGACCGGTGCAACAAGGAGTGAGATATGGTGAAGGCAACCCAACTTGTCGACCTAGTAACTCTCCGCTCAAATCCTAAACAACCTTTCCGTCGTTCAAACTCCTATTTGAGAATTTATTCCAATTATAGAACAAAGGGATAAGTGAGGGTTAACGAATGAGGACAGGGGCTGTGGTCGTCTCAGCTAGTCCTGGAGGTTCTCCTTCGTGTGCGTCAGATTTATACCGGGAATAAATCCATTACGCAGAGAGTTATTACCCATGGACCCCTTTAATGTTCAATGAATTTTTGGAGCATGCCCGCGTGTATATTTTATTTGATATCCCAATGAAGAGGGAAGCGCTCGACGGCTGTCTGACCAGACGGGTCGTGAGTTCCCACCACCACACCCAGTGATCGTACAGAGACACTGCATATGAAGGAAAGCACCAGGGAATGGGAATAAAAAGAATGTGTATCCGTCTGTCCGTGTTTGCGGATGCTGTTTGGATTATCCTCAAGATACATCAACAGCGCCCGAGGCCTAGACGCCTCAGGTACGGAAGGCCATGCTAACTAGAGCGCAATAGGAAACACAGGCTGATTGGTAACTTAGTGTTCAGTCAACAGACGTCAATGTGTCTCCGATCAACTTGTCTATGCCGTCACCGGTTCTCCCGCTAGACAAGTACATATAGACATCAGTTTGAGGAAGACTTAATGACGTCTCAATTTGTAGAGCAAGTCCCTGATTCACCGGGCAGTGACGGCTGCCTCACGATCTGGAGACACATCCTCGCTGGCTGGTAAACATATCCCAATATAACAGACAGAAAACAAGTAGATACCTCTTTCTGAGGAACTGCTGGAGAGTACAATCAGTCAATAGCAAAGCGTAGCTTCCCGATTACAGCAAATTGAAATATTGTGAACAGACTGAGGCAAGCCCAGTCAGTATCAGTCACGGGAATTTGAGCGAGTCTTTGACCAACCTTGAAATACTGTGGGGTTCTCATTACTGTTTTACCATTTAGGAGATGTGGATAAATGATTCATCCCGATTTACATGACAGCAGACCCTGGAACTCACGGGGTGATTCCAGGAGCTGCTGTAATTCCGAGATATTGGACACGTTCTTCGGAACAGGACTTCAACTGGAAGAATTCTCATCGAGAAATCGTCCATACATATTGCCACTATGGTAGTTGGCACTGAAAAAGAGGCATGGCGTCGCTCATTATTAGCAGAGTCAATTATCAAGAAAGCAGCCTGGTGTGAAGAGAACATAGCACATATAGCCTTACAAGGCTGGAAGGATTGTTTTGCTTCTTCTTTTTACTCCCTACTCTTTACTTGATTTAGCTATTCCCCCGAGCAAGATCCGTCTCGCCCTTTGCAATAGGTAAACCCGTTCTTTCGGACACCAAATGTGTCAGGAAAATAGTGATCGATGACAAACTGAGGAGGTGGTCAAATACCACTAGGACCCTTCGGGATTGGCTTATTCATCGTTCACCCAATTTCCACCTAGTATGGTGTCATAACACGCCATAGTTCAACTATAAAGACCCCTGAGATCGCTCAACCGATCGGAGAACCTACAATCAATCATCTTATTCCGTTTGGACATCTTCAGTACTAGCCAGTACACCGATTCCTCATCCTGACAATCGACACTGTATTGACTTAAACGGTACATCTGAGGTTTCCGAAGATATGGTATTCGGTATCGGGATTACGCGTACTTTTCGCCATCTTTCGAAACCTCGGAATGTAACCACCGAGTCACAGGTTTTCTTGAGGGTATATTAACCCCCCTCAACCACCAGCAGTTTCAGGGGGGAATCAACACTCTTTCGCATCTTTTGGTATTTTCCCCTTTTTGATTCCGTTGCCTTTCGCTGGCCAGTAAATCCAGTGTATTTCCCTGACTATACAGGGCATTCCTGACAAAGAAGCAGTGGGAGAGCGAGAGGACCGCTCAGCCCACAAAACGCTTGCTGAAATGGCCGGACAAGAAGGTCTTGCGATTGTACGAATGCTTGTCGAAACCACGGTCTTCGATCATGATACAACTGCGGTCGATGCGTATTGCGCTGAGGCACTTCTTGTATAAGATCAATGCCTGGATTCGGACAAATGCCCTTGCGGAGATGGCTCTCAAACGCCGAAGCATGTCTTGCTTCAATGTGAGGACTTCGGCGCATTGAGAAAAGGCTTTTTGACCAGTTGCATCAGGCTGGAGTGAGAGAACTGACCGATTACGATACTATTGTATCAGACCCGCTGGCAACCCGCTACGTTGCTAAATTCATGCACCGAACCGGCCTACTTGCTCAGTTTCAACATACTGAGCAAGAAGAGTCCGATGATGAAACTGGAGACCTCGAGGTCATGGAGCAGAGTCCCGAAGACGCTGGGTACTCACCAATGCATGCACCGACGGTCGAGGAAGGAGAGAACCTCGATTCGCTATTCGAATACACGCTGCCTGACTGCGCGGGAACCGACAAGGATAACCATCTAATTGAGGATGGAGTGAGAGCTTGAGCATACGGGACCTGATCTCGCTGCATGAAGACTGGAGGTTGAGAGTGCGGAGGTATATATGGAGAGGTGGATGGTGCATTCCACGCATTCTTTTGTACTCAATGCATTACTGGCATTGAGCTTCTCATTTGTACTGCGATTTTTGAGGGTTTTTATGGGCATTTGGCATTTGATTTGCATGTATTGAGCTGGTGCTCTCACTCTTTGAGGACTTGCCTTCTTATTTGTACTGGAGCATGATTCAGGCGTACGGATTACGAGTTCTTGCTTCATCTGGAAAGAAGCGCCTGCATAGCCATTACGATACTGGTTAGGCTCCAACAGGTTAATAGAACTTTGATTGGTTGATTGATTGGATAGGCCAACTCAAGCAACCAAAGAATCGATCTGGTTGAGAAGACTCCTCAATGAGTTAAACACGAGCCAAGGAAAAGCCGCAACGATCATTTGTGGTGACAACCAAGGGGCCATCGGCCTGTCCTCGAACCCACAATACCAATCCCGCACGAAGCATATGGAAATCCAACGCAAATGGCAAGGGGAGGTCCAAGACCTTGGAACAGTGGAACTGAATTACATTCCAACTACAGAGCAAGTTGCAGAAGGATTCACGAAACCTCTTGCGCGAGAACCATTTGAGTGGTTTCGGAGAGGGCTTGGCATTGAGTGGCACTTCTTGGCTTACGGATCTCAGGTAGAGACTAAGCCGTACAGGTACCCTTTCCTTCTTTTCCCTTTTAAGGGTTTTTGGAGGTTTTAACGGGACCGTTCACAACCGTGATACATGGTCGCTGGAACCCTTGATGGTGGTTACCATCGAGTGGGAGTGTTGAGTATCACGGTGGTCAAAGCTTAGGGCGGGGACGACTAAGAGATATGTAAATAGATGAGGAGTCCCACCTCCAAGAGATGAGATAACTTAACCTAATACAATCATTTTATCTCAACAGTGCAAAATGTCTGCGAATACGAATGCGAATTGCGAATATTCGTTATTCATGCTGACCTGTAGCAGCGAGAACGTCGCATGAACAATTATCCACCCATTTGGTTGAGATACCAACAGGGTTGATTGTCCCTCCCATTGGGAGGTTCCTCGTCTTAACGTAATTCACCCCCGAGCTGGACACCCCCCCCGGGAGCTGGACACCCCACCCAAAAACCCGTCAGTTAACTAGACCTCTGTTTTTCAAACACCCGCTATGCCACCAATTCGTACTCAATCCTCTCAAAAACGTACGGAGCAAGAGGGTAGGATCTTATTAGCTATTCAGGCTATTCAGAAGAAAGAAATTACCTCGATTCGTGAAGCAGCACGCCAATTAAACGTACCGAATTCAACTCTCGCTACACGTCTTAATGGGGTTCAAAACCGCGCGTTTTCTCGCGCAAATGGTTCAAAATTAACAGAAATTGAAGAGGAATTGCTTCAAAAATGGATTCTATCTATGGGTTCTCGCGGAGCAGCTCCTCGGACTTCTACTGTACGAGAAATTGCGGATCTACTACTCGCGGCGCGTGGATCCCCCCCCCCCCCCCACCTCCTTCGGTCGGCCAAAATTGGGTTACAAAATTCGTGAAAAGGGATCCTCTTCTTTCCTCCCGATTCTCGAGGCGCTACTATTATCAGTGAGCTAAATGCGAAGACCCGAAGATTATTTCTGAATGGTTTTCTCTCGTTCGAAACAGTCTTAACTTACGGTATCGATCCCGACGATATCTATAGCTTCGACGAGACCGGTTTTGCAATAGGCTTAATTGCGACCGCGAAGGTTATTACGAGACGTGAATTCTACGGTCGGCGATTGCTTTTACAGCCCGGAAACCGCGCGTGGGTGACTACAATCGAGTGTATAAACGCGTCGGGGTGGGCACTTCCTCCGTGCGTGATCTTTAAGGGCAAAGTCATTATCGAATCTTGGTTCGACAGCCTTCCGGACGATTAGAGACTCGAGGTTAGTCCTAACGGGTAGATGTCCGACGAAATTAGCCTTCGGTCTCTCGAAAAGCTCTCATTCTGTCTACTTCTTCGCGTACGAAGGGGAAGTATAGACTTTTAATACTCGACGGCCAAGGGACTATACTTCTAATACTCGACGGCCACGGGAGTCATTTAACCCCGAAATTCGACGAAATTTGCGAGAAGAATAATATTATCGCAATTTATATGCCTCCGCACTCGTCTCACCTTTTACAGCCTCTCGATATTGACTATTTTGCGGTGTTAAAGCGCGCATATCGTCGGCTAGTCGAATCGAAAATACGGCTTAGGATCAATTACGTCGATAAATTAGACTTCCTCGAAGCCTACCCTCTCGCCCGAATTGAAGTGTTTAAATCGGAGACTATTAAAAATAGCTTCGCCGCCGCGGGTTTAGTGCCTTATAACCCCGATCGAGTGATCTCGAAGCTCGATATTCGCCTTCGAACCCCGACCCCCCTGGAGCCGGGGAAGCGAGTGGTCGCCAAAAACGCCGTCGAACTATATCTAATTACAAAAGCAAGCTTCCTTAATTAAAGCATTGCTAAAACAGCGTTTAAAAAGCCCACCGAGCCCGCTTAATTCCGCGATAAATCAGGTTTTAAAAGCCTACCAAGTCACGATGCAATCGACTGCCTTACTCGAGAAAGAAGTAAGCGAATTACGCGCTGAAAACGACAAGAAGAAGCGAAAAAGGACGAGGTCTACAAGGCAAATACCTTCCGAAGGTCTCTCAGATTTAGAGGCCTCTACCTTAGTAGCGCAGCCAGAGAAAGCAGATTTAGCACAGGTATCCCGTGAGACAAGACCGCCTCTGGCACATTTACAGCCGCGTACGAGGGCCTTACCAAAATGTGGAGCATGTGGAACTGAGGGTCATAAGAGAAACGCATGTCCAAATAGACCTCGATTTTAGTGTATTGAATTTAATGGCGTTTTGGTTGAGAAATAAGGCATTTAAAATGAATAGATACAGATGGGGTGGCGGCTCGGTGGTGGTGGCGGCTTGGTGGTGAATTACGTTATTTTAACCTGAATGCCTCGCACAGAACATCACTGACAAAATGCGTCTCAGCCCCCTTTCCACTCTCTTCCTATCCTAGTCCATATCATCACAGTGACAGGTCATATGTACTTAAACACACCCTGTCTTACGGCCTTGGCGTAATATGAAGCTATCCGAGGTCCACATTGGGGAAATTGTGGAAAGACCCCTACTACCACTTGAATGCTGAGGAACTGTACATTCAGAATCCAATTCACTCGTATTCGGATAGACATGTATTCTGATGGAGTAGCGCAAAGGGTGGGAATAATTCGAATCTCATTGGGATTTGTTGTGGGTACTCAAATATTAGCTTTTCACAAGATTCGGTCTTGGAGCCTTCTTTGGGACGATTTGATCCAAAAGCTGTAAGCTATTATCAGAACATGCTAAAAGTGTATGGACGAGTATGCATTCAGGACGAATGAGATCAAACGGAGCCAATGAAGGATGAAAAGATTGATTGATTGAAATAGAATGTCAAGGGTGTTGTTGAAGTACCTTTGCGGCAATGTGCCGATTATCGGTAGTTCCAACCATGGAACCCAATTTCTTGTGGTAGTAACCACTCCATGTGATGACAAAAGCTTACTTACGAGCTCTTCAAAAGAGGAGTCACGCATATCCACTTCAGTTCAACGTGACGTCTGAGTCGACGATTCCGATAGGCCAAGAATCTCCCGAAACCAATAGCCCACAAAGTTCGTAAATAAGCTTTCGTACTCCTGTTTGAACCAAGTTTCTGGGAAATTTCATCTGTTCTTCCTGTCTTGCTGAGAGAAAAGTGCCCTCGTATGTGTTGGGGGATTCCTTCAATTTTGATCATGATATCCTTTCATTCAAAATTGCCCCAAAAGTTCCACTTCCGAACCGGGTTAGCTTACCAACAGCGGAAAATCATACTGAATATTCGTTCAACAACAGTAATGCTAATAGCCTTGGCATGTTTCTCAAACTCGAAAGACGAAATGGCAGAAGGAGAATGCAATTCTGAGTTTTACGGGGAAGTTTGGTATATTCTAGGACAGAAGTTAAAAAACCTCTGATCCACTAGCGCCAAAGTTAATTCATTGGTTTGGTAGTTTAACCAAAAATGACATATCACTTCCTTTCTTGGATTTCTCGTCACCATTTGGAACAACCACTTCCACCATGCGAAGATAAAAACATGGTAAGTACCAGTTCATATCGACTGTCCATAGCGAATCCTTTTTCCCTTAATATTTGCAACCATATGAACTACGAAGCTGAGGTCGCCGATGATCACTTGGCTTCGGACATTCGACGATCGATAACTTTTTGTCTGTGTTGCTTTGGACTGTCGACAGCAATATCGATCTCCTAGAGTTTAGCAGAAGCCACAGCGGCAGCATGGCGGATGATCATGGCCCTTCAATTCGCAATGTTGACCTAACACTGGCTTCAGTGGCCAGCGTCGCAGTCGCCCTGCGATGTTATGTCCGCCTGAAGCTTGTCAAGTCGTTCGGATGGGATGACACAATCATGGTACTCGCACTGGTTCGTACGCTCTTGGTTCACAAGATGCCAATAATTTCCTCAATATATCTCGTATGTTACAATCCTGCTGACGCTCTGATTTGAATGAAAACCAGTTATTCCAGATTTCCCTCGCCGTCTCCGCCAGCTACGGGACGTTCTATGGAATCGGAAGAAAACTCGCTGATATTAACGCAGAAGACATGAAAACAGCTAAGTTGGTAAGTTGGGAAAGATACTGGGCTTACTTCGGAACGAGTGTACATTAACTAATGGCTTCTTTGGCAGTGTTGGTGGTTAGGCCAAATCTTCTACATCCTCTCCTGCTGTGCGACTAAGATCTCCGTCTGTATCTTCCTGCTTCGTGTAACCGTCAGCAAGGCGCACTTCCGGATCCTGTACACGGTTATGGGGCTCACTGGAGTTATCAGTTTTGTTTTCTTGATGATCATGATGGTGCAGTGCCAACCTATCTCATACTTTTGGGACAGAGTTGGACAGATAGGCAAATGTCTGGACCCAGAAGTTGCCAGCTCGTTCTTATATGTCTTCAGTGTTACCAGTGCCATCTGTGATTTTACAGTCGGCCTTTTACCAGCATCCCTGGTCTGGAATTTACAGATGAATAAATACGCAAAGATTACCGTAGCCACACTGATGGGGATGGGCTGCATGTATGTATTCCAGGATTAACTCTTCACTGGTTTTGACATAACTTGGATCCTTTGGCTGACCACGCAAATCCAGCGCCAGTACTGCAGTGGTCGTCCGAATACCGTTTATCCAAGAGTACAAACGCCAGGAATTTCTCTGTCAGTTTCTTTTCAAGCCTACCCTGCTTTCCTGCTTCAGGACAGTTTACGTTAACATGCCGATTCTATTTTCCAGATGAGACAGCAAACCTGGCCATCTGGTCCAACGTTGAGAGTGGGCTTGGTATTACGGCTGGAAGCTTAGCAACACTGAGACCACTGTTTCGTTTCCTCCGCAACCGCAGTGCATCCTGTGACAGCACTTCCGGTACCAATCCATTACATAGAGGCCTCAGTGGCCATCCTAGTTCCACAGCGCCGGGTGTCTTTAGCTCTGGCAGGCTCGGGAATAACAAGCACATGTCTAATTGCCATAGGACGGATAACGTGGGAGTGCCTAACCATTCCCGCAGCGTCATTGCCGATGGACTAGGCATAATCACAACCGTTCAAGGCAACTGGTGGCGGAAATCCAATGAAGGGCGAAATTACCGCACGAAATCTTATGGAGGAAGTACCAGCGCGGAGGACCTGAATCCAAAGGAGACAGTTTATGGCAGCGACTGCAAACGTATCAATTCTGCGAATGAGGGCAACGCGATTTACCAGACGCACGAGCTCACAATGTTGGATGAATATGTCCCAGTTTAACTTGTCTGCTTTTGTATCCCAACGCCGTATTTCTTATTGGGATATATTACTCAATGTCTCAACCTGCACCACTCTGCCAGATTCGGGGTTTGATTTTCTCGCTCACCCTAGCTTACCCTAATGCAGCAAGCAAATATGCCCTACCAAGCATCGTATGTAAAAGTGTTTCATTTATACTGTATGAACACTCGTTCAGAAGTTAGTTAATAACTGTAGTTCAGATTGCCAGAACAAATAAAAGGGGTGCTCTTTTAATTATTAGAATATTCGGTGAAATTGAAACAAATATCCGAGCCCAGGAGGGTCCTCCGTGATACTCAAGTGGAAGACATTGTCTTCGTCCAACGCGTACTTACTGGAAAAGTGGACTATATATATGGATACTCTCTGGATAACAGAACCGTTCTTCTGTTGACAATCATCCCCTTGGTCTACAAAAACCCATATGGCTGCTCAAACATTGGCTCTACTCTTGGAGCAAAGATAAAGAAAAAATATTTCTCGTCATCAAATCCGTACATATTTGAGCTCCATTAACCTCAGTACAGTACAGCCCGCGTGACGTGCAAGCAACATTCGCAAAGGCGCTGGGCAAGGAGGTCGAGGTGCGACATGTGGAAAAGGACCGTGTGCGTCAATTTTTTGCGCAGATTTTTCCTCCAGAAAATTTAGAGTGTTGGACATCCTGCGTGATGGTGTACTGGTATTGAATATGGGCCGGCTCCAACGCCAGTATTATACATGAGGACAAAACAACTCTTTCTTGGCAAAAACGCTTTCTTGAGATACCTCGCCAATCAAAGGACCTAGAGCCTCGTGAATTAGTTTATCTTAGTTGTAACTTCGAGCGTTACTATCTGATACCTATTCTGTAGGGTAAGATGGCAGCTAGACATCGCCAAATCCCGCAAACGGGTCGAGACCCTTGACCCAAAACCCGAACCCAACCCAAAACCCATTCCCTGCATAATTTTCCCAACTAGGCTATGCCAAAACGCACAAATTTGCTGATTCACCATAGTAAAATACGGTTTTCTATTGCAGCTTTGGCCACTACTATGATCATATAGCAATTTAGCTAGTTATCACCTTAATGAAATTGAAAGCAAAGGATTTGTATCAAATTTCTTTTCAGGCTCGTAGAAATATATTTAGAGAAAATTGATGCGCTGTAATACATCTATGGTGGAGGGTGTGACGGATGACCCTGGGAATAGCCTCGTCTCGTGGATGTTGGGAAGGCGGTGTATGGATGTGTATGGTAGCGAAATGAGAAGGTAAACAAGTCTAAATTGGATAACATCCCCTAGCTAGCAATTTATATGGGGGAAAAAATGCAAACTAAAATAACGCGTCTACCGTGTTTATCAGAGAGCATTCCTAGCTGACTAGGAATTCCCAGGCGTTAGTTAACGTGGATCCCGGCGGGTCCGTCATCCCTGCCGGTCCGTCACCCCATCAAAACTTCAAATTTTTACCCTTTTTTAAACATCATTTACCCAACCAAAACACCATTAAATTGACAAATTAAATCTTTTGCGGGCATTTAGAAAACCTATGCCCTTTTCCGCCACATTTAGAACACGTAATTTGCCGACGTACAGGGGGCAAAACAGGAAGTGTAGGTTCAACCTGGGGTTCTAGAGCAGGTGTAGTATCAGATATATATCGTACACCACCGCCTCCCTCACCACTAACATTAGTAGTGAGGTCTAAAACCTCTGTTAAACTACCTTTATTAGGTATTCGCTTCTTTGATTTCTTCCTCTTTTTCGTCTGCTTTCTGTTTCCCTCCCGTAAACGCTTTATTTCATCCCGCATTAAGATGTGCTCGTGAACTAGCTTAACCGACATATTGTAAAACTGTTGAAGATCACGTTTTGTAGGCGAAGAGATCTTATTAGCCGCTGAATTTAGACCAGAATCGAGCCTAGATTTGCGTTTTTCTAGTTGCTTAGTCGTTTGAGGGATGCCAGTGGAGATATTGCTGCCTGATGTTGAACCTTGTGAAACTGGTCGATCTGGTGGAGGCGGAGATTGAAGACGAATATTGAGCTTTGATAACACCCGATCTGGGTCTAGTGGTACTAAACCAGTAGCTGCGAAGGCACTCTGAATGATAGACTCTTTGAATGAATCATCACGCGCTGCTGGAAAAATATCAAGGAAATCATCTTTCTCGATAGAATCGATGCCTAATCGGGTATATTCTGCAACCCGCGTTCCATAAGAGCGCTTTAATACAGCAAAACAACCAACATCAAGAGGCTGTAAAAGATGAGAGGCATGCGGAGGCATACAGACTGGTATGATGTCGTTTTCCTGGCAAATCTTGTCGAATGTTGCTGTAAGATGACTGTCGTGGCCATCGAGGACCAAAAGACGATGTTTCCCTCTCGTCTGACTTGTCGTGCGCGGAATAAAGTGAATTTGGAGCCAATCAACACCAATTTCATTACTTGTCCAGCCGTTTGGACTAACGTTAAGAGCCCAATGTTTTGGAAGGTCGTCAAACCATCGTACCATGAAGTGTTTCCCCTTAAAGATAACGTATGGTGGGAGCGCTCGTCCAGAGGCGCAAATTGATTCGATAACAGTCACCCATTCGCGATTGCCAGCTTGTAAAACGCCCCTCCGACCGGTGTAAGATGACTGCGTAATAACCTTCGTCGTCGCACTAATTCCCATCGCAAACCCCGATTCGTCAAAGTTGTAGATATCATCTGAAGTGATACCATATTGAGCTATCGTTTTTTCGATAAGCTTAAACCACTCGATAATAGTATTTGGGTCTTCCATTAGGGCGCGTTTGTAGTCATATTTGCGAGAGAATCGAGTAGTAAGCTCAGGATGTCGTTTGATATATTGTGTTGGCCAATTTTTGCCAACGGTCTGGAGGGCATTATCTCCGCGGTGTTTAAGCAGTAAATTGGCCATATCTCTCAACATCGCGATTGTAAGCGCAGCGCCTCTCTGATCCATAGAGATTAACCAATCCTGAATTGATTCCTCTTCCAGTTGCGTGAATTTATGGCCTGTACCTCTTGCTTCATATAGATTAGGAATGCCCTTCATCCGATCAGCAAGAGTTGTGCGGGGGACATCAAAAGAGCGAGCAGCAGCAGCTATCGTGGTATTTCTGCCATTTTGAATAGCCTTAATAGCAAGCAAGATCCTGCCTTCCTGCTCAATTGATTTTTGAGCTTTTTGACTGCGTTTTGGGGGTATGGTAGGCGTTCAAGAATAGGTGGCTGGGTAGGGGCAGAAAATTTGAGGAGAGATGACGGACCGGCAGGGATGACGGACCCGCCGGGATCCACGTTAACGTAATTCACCACCGAGCTGACCGCACCACCGAGCTGACCGCTTACCCACTTTTTCGCGTCCAGACGCGTCGTCCTATCTTTAACCATCCACCATGCCACCAAATCGCTCTCGATCAAGCCGAAATTCCATTGAACAAGAGGGTCGTATCCTCCTAGCTATTCAGGCTATTAAAAATGGAGATAAATCACCAATTCGTGTACTGGCACGGACTTATTCAGTCCCATACTCTACGCTTCGAACACGACTTCGCGGCACCCTAAATCGCGCCGAATCTCGCGCCAATGGCCATAAATTGACAGAAATCGAAGAGGGTTCGCTTCTTAAGTGGATTATCTCAATGGATACTCGCGGTGGAGCACCTAGACCGTCGACGGTGCGAGAAATGGCTGATTTACTACTCGCGAAGCGCGGTTCAACTAATATCGAAGTCGTTGGCCCAAATTGGGTTACAAAATTTATTAAACGGCATCCTGAGCAGCTAAAATCGCGCTTCTCACGACGATACGACTATCAATGCGCAACGCAAGAGGATCCAAGAGTTATCCAGCAGTGGTTCGACACCGTACAAGCTACAATTCAGCAATATGGTATCGTTGACGAAGATATCTATAATTTTGACGAGACTGGCTTCGCGATGGGCCTTACTGCGACCGCAAAAGTCATTACGCGGGCGGAATACTACGGTCGGCGCTCGCTTTTACAGCCCGGAAATCGCGAGTGGGTTACCGTAATCGAATCAATCAACGCAAGCGGGTGGACGCTTCCACCAACAATCATCTTTAAAGCTAAGCTATACCATTATGCTTGGTTCGACAATCTTCCAGGAGACTGGCGCTTTGAAGTAAGCGCAAATGGGTGGACGACAGATGAAATTGGGCTTCGATGGCTACAAAAATGCTTTATTCCAGCGACAAATAATCGCATAAAAGGCAGATATCGACTTCTTATCCTTGACGGTCACGGTAGTCATTTGACACCACAATTCGACGAAATCTGTGCTCAAAACAATATTATATCGATTTGTATGCCACCGCATTCATCACACCTACTTCAACCACTTGATATTGGTTGTTTTGCATCGCTTAAACGCGCGTACGGTAAGCTCGTCGAGCGTCAGATGCGTCTTGGTATCAACCATATCGACAAGCTTGATTTCCTCGAAGCATATCCACTCGCGCGCATTGAAACATTTAAATCAGTTACGATTCAAAATAGCTTTGCAGCAGCTGGTTTAGTGCCATTAGATGCCAACCGAGTGATATCAAAGCTAAATATTCGGCTTCGTACACCTACACCCCCTCGGAGCCGACCAAGCAGTCGATCTAGCGCTTTTAGCCCAAAAACCCCAAAAACAAGCATTCAAGCACGTCGTCAAGCTTCATCAATCAAAGCTTTTCTTCGTCGACGGTCGCAAAGCCCATTACTTCGAGCATATCAAGCAATTGACCAGCTAGAGAAAGGGTTCCATAACGTCCGTCAAGAGCTTATAATTCTCACGAAGGAAATCCAGGATTTACGCTCAGAGAACGAGAAAAAGAAGCAAAAAAGGGCACGTACGCAGAGACGAGAAGCACATCCCACAGGCCTATCAGTCCAAGAGGCCCAAGAGCTCTCACAACCTATTGAGCAGCCTATTCCTTTGGTTCAGCCCGTTCTGCCCAACCCAGTTCAACCGGTTCAAACTACAGCAGCACCCCTACAGAAGCGTCGATTTACCTGCTCTATATGTGGTGAGATAGGGCATAAGTCAAATAAATGTTCAGTTAGATAGTTTTATTAATATTACGGCGTTTTGGTTGATAAATACGCTATTAAATAGGAAGAGGGCGGGTGAGCGGTCAGCTCGGTGGTGCGGTCAGCTCGGTGGTGAATTACGTTATCACGGTACGTATTATGTAATACAACACTCTCAGATTCTGCCACTGACAGTGGAAGGATGCCTGAGGCATAATATTGGGTCGTTTGCACAACGCAGGTTACAGGTCAGCTAACCCTCACTGAACCTCATCGCACCCTCAAGTCACGTGAAAAGTGGGTTTTCAGTAGCTCATCACACCCTAGACCCACTTATGTTGGTATTTATCCCTGTATTGCTGTAGTAACCATGTAAATAATCCTCATTTACCTTATAAATTAAAAACACGCCTGTTTTTATCCCGTCTTCGCCTTACGCAGACAACATGGAGCACCAACCAGTTGCTAACCAGTTCTGGTACCCCTGGAGGGAAATGCCTCTCAACCAACTGCTTAATCTTGATCCAAGCGCAGAGAATCAAGATAGGAGTGATGAGGACCTCTCTATCTTGAATCAAAGTAATGATACTCGTATCATACATGAACGAAATGAAGCAACAGCCGACCCCAATGAGGTAAATATATATCTCTTATACTCCAACTAGTTTTTACTTAGTCTCTAATCAATTAATCTCTAGCAACCCGAGCCACAGGTCACAATTCCACTCTCAGGTGGTACGCACGATGTAGTAGAAACTGCCAAGATCGAGCATGTTATTTCGCTCCCAGAATACCCACAAACCCATGATCTTGGCTATGCATATGTGGTCAACCTCCGAGGACTATCGTATGAGCAAGCATCTCAGGTTCTCACTTCAGTATGTATCTCTAGAAACTAATACTAAACTACTTACTAACCAGTTACTTAGATACAGTACTCCTACGCTAAAGTTGGGACCGAAACAGTTGCGTTTAATCCATTCCTTGGTTGCAAGACTAGGAAACGAAGGTTAAAATGCACTGGGGTTTCTATCTGCACCTTCGCACATCCGTTAATTATGTCTTCGCAACATTACCTTGCTGATGAAGATCTATTCACATCGCTTTCAGAGACCCGGCGGCGAATCAAGCAAGAAGATAGCCTGACTTTGCAGCAAAAGGCTAGCATGAGGTAAGATAATTAGTTTGTAACTAAAATAGAACTAATCCTAACTTCTATTAGCTTCTACCAGGTCCATCAGGAGAGGTTTCACATGAAAACTGCATGTAAAAACTCTATAGACAGCTGTAAGCTAGTCTATGGGACCTACCATGAACCAGTAAGCTTGCTAAATAGGTCAAGGAAAGCCAATTGCTAACTAGTCAACAGACCATTGATGGGATCCATCATCCCTTCCTCGCATGCAGTAATCGCACCCTTGAAAATAGGACTCTGCACTTCCATCGAAGCCTAATAGGGAAAGAGACCTCTCTAGATATTAGATACCTCCAGTATCTAGTAGATGGAAATATACCCTCAAGCTTTGACCACTGCGGTGTGGTTGAGCCGCGCTCTACGCGGCGTAAGGACTGCGGTATGTCTTTGATAACTAGTTATACACTAGTTACTAACTCGTGTGTAGGTATTATGCACCCTCAAGGGCAGGGTAAATTAACCCAGCAACAGTGTGGCGTACAATTTCGCATATGGATCCCGATAGACTTAGCAGCGTGCCCATACGCTCTTTTCTACTCTCGCGGATGTCATAGTCACCCACCACCTCCTCCAAATAAGGCACCATACCTTATTATGGGTGATGTATTGAATCTAATTTGTCGAAACCAGACCCCAGACTTAACCCTTAGTAAGTAATCTTATCCAGCTACTGACTAATATCTAATTAGTTAACAGCGTCGTTCCTACAAAGCCCAGCTCTTCGTGAATACTGCCAGGAGAGAAAATGCATGACACTCTCTCAGATCCATAAAAGCTTCGTGAATATGGACCGTTTTCGAGCCGTTCTCACTAAACAACGTGCCTTTCGATACCCCAAGGGTAGAGATATTGCAGGTATTCAACATGAACTTCACCGTGATCCAACTTTGCAGGTAGGACAACAGGAACTAGTTGTGATTTACTTACTAATTGATTATTAGTCATATATACGGGAGGTCTATGATAATGAGTATGGTCTTTTCGTCTTCTGCGCTCTTGAAGCCCAAATTCGATATTTAGCCTCACTTGACTCATTTGAGGTGGATATGTCGTATAAACGGGTTAAAGGCGACGTCATCGAAGTAATATTCGCAACCCTTATACAGGAGCATGGCAAGAGTAAGTATAACTACTCCCTAACTAGTTCTTTACTAATTTACGTCTTAGTCTTTACTCTATTCCGCGTCTTCACAGATCAAGAGTCACCAAATGCTTATGAGTTTATCTTTAGCCGAGTATTCTACTTGATCCAGAAGATTACGAACGAATCAGTGAGGTTTCATTATCTACATAACAAGGGCTTCAAGGCTATTGTTACAGATATGTGCCCTAATCAGATGACTGGTATAGTTTATTATTTTATTTTTACTAGCCTTTGACTAGCTTTTAACTAATTCAACCTAGGTCTCGGGCAGCACCTCCAGAGAATAGACCCTTTTCGTCGCGAGCGTGGCTGGCAACTACGGAATATTTTGATATTCTGCAAGGTGCACTTTATGCGCACTGTGGCAGAATTATTCCCTGAGACTTTAGATGGAACATATCATCTAGCCCGGGAACGATGTATGAGCTTGCTTAGCTCTCAGACGGAGAGGGAGTATCATGGGCTACTTGACTTAATTGCGGGTATGTCCATTATAAGTGGTTACAAAACGAGTTGCTAACTAATAAGTAGGACACTACCCAGACTTAGTTGACTGGGCAAACCACAAGCGACATCCAATTATCTCTGCTGGTTTATGTAGAGCGTGTTCGTTAATAAATCCGGATTTCTATAAGGATATCAGGAATCATACGAATGCGGTTGAACAGAGCCACTACAAGTCCTATTTTCTAGGCATACACGATAGCCTGCTTGGTGCAGTGATGAAGTAAGTTCAAAGTCAACTATTTATAATTTAGTTATTAACTAGTTTACAAGGTCCAGATTGCTAGATCTCCAAGACGTCGAGCAATATCATATTCGTGAGCGTTATGGTAGTAGGCATTCATATCGATGTGATAGCCAACAAGCGAGATGGAAGAGGAATCTACAGAGAGAAGGTAAGACATAACTAGCTAAAACCTAGTGATTAGTCTAGGTACTAATATTAACAATTTAACACAGACCGAAAGAGAGATTGTTTCTTACAAGAGCAGCAAGAGAAGATTAATGCAATAGTCTCTCAGGAGGATCTAATTCTCCATCAATCGAGCTCATCTGGTAGAATGATCAAACGGTCCCGTTCTACACGGGGAAGGTCATCATCAAGATGTAGTTCCCAGAGCCGTTCCCAAAGCCGTTCTCAGAGCCCTGCAGTGTAAGTGACTACGATAGCTAGATATTGATTAGAAACTAACTAGTTGATAGGACCCCATTCTCATTACCCTCTCGGTCTGACTCTCCAGACCTTCGCCGTACTGCCTCAGTGAACCTACATAACCAAGCATCTATTGACGAAAATCAACGTCAAGCGCAGCTTAGGTATCAGGAAGAGAAACAGCGGATAGAACTAAGGGTAGAATTTGAGAGAAAGGAGTATGAGGTAAGGCTTGAGGAGCAACGGAGGGTAATAGAAAGACAGAAAAGACAGGATGAACTTGCATTTGAGAAGAGTGTGATGGAAAATGAGTTATTAGCTATTCAGCTTGCTAATTTGAAGAAACAGTCAGGACAGAACTAGTATAAAACTAGTTCTAATCTGACATTTTTAATATTCTGCATTTAAAAAGTTGTTCTTGTTACGGGTCAAGAGAAAGATCAAAATCAAACTATACTATTCAAAGGAAAAGAAAGAACTAGTTCAAAGGTAGTTCAGGGATCCTTAATAGTATCAGAGGGATAAGGGGCAAACTCCTCAAAGATATCACACTGAGTACGGCGAGCATGACTGCAACATCCTGAAAGTTTTAAGTAAAGTAGTTCTGAACTAGTTAAGAATTGCTAAAGACTCACTTCGCGAAACATTATCGAGCTTACACTGCTCACAGGGAACGTCCACACCCATTTCCATAGCCTGGCGCTTTAGCTCAGACATATTGATCTATTAAGAAACTGTCATTTAGTTAAGAACGAGTAATATACTAGAGGATATCCACTCACAGTACCATCGCGCTTAAGAGGAAATGCGGGCTGAGGGGCACTAGCTACACGAGTGTCGTACCGAGATTTGAGGTCATTGTAAAAGGCTATAAATTAGTTAGAGACTAGTTTAGCATATCAAATATCTTTAACTTACCGATAGCAGCTGCATCACGCTCAGCTGTGATTGAACCTCCGCCCTCTCCCTCGCAAATCTCGTTATGCTTATCTCTGATATGAGCCTTAAGGGCGTTGGTGTTTTGGAAACGGTTCTATGACTAGTTAAAAACCAGACTTAGAAGATTATCGTTATGAATATAAAGTCATATACCATATTGGCACAGGGATAGTAACGACAGAGCAATTCGCCTGGGTGGATAATAAGAGTGTTCGCTTCCTGTGGCTATATCAGAACTAGTTTAGCATTAGTGGAGGCACTCACGGTCGCTACAGGCATGTCCAACTCATGTAATATGTCCTCCTTCTTCATCGTGGTATACCATAAATAGGTGTCCTACAACCAGTTCAGAGCTAGTCAGTTCTCTCATCTCTTCTCTCACTTTATTAAACTTTATTACTCACAGCTGTCTTGTACTTCGGCATGTTGTAAATTGAAGTTGAACTAGTTCGTGATGCGATAATCCAGCAGAAAAGAGCGGTCAGGGACGGCTCCTGAAGTGTTCAAGAACCAATAAGGGAGGCGGTGGGTTGAAGGAAGGAGGGTAAGGTTTTGTAAGGTGAAATGAGGTGTAAGGTATTTACAGTTGGAACCCACATGTCATGTGACTTGAGGGTGCGATGAGCTTTTTTGGAGGGTGGGCTGAGCTGTAGTCACTGCACAACGCGTTTGCTGGGGACTTAACCCCTCTTTTTCTGGCGGACTTTCTTTCTTTCTCTTTCCTTCTTCATCTTCGAGATTCTCGTAAGTAGGCACCGACTGAATTTGTTTCTTTCGAACGGCCCGTAACACGCAGAAGGTATTTCGAGAAAGGATCGAGCTCTATTTTCGGAGTACGTTGTTCCCGCTTTTACGGAAGACGGTCAACAAGCGCAGCGTATCCTGAACACACGATTCGCGGAGGCTTCCGATGCGGCCCAATGCCTCCTGAGAATCCTCAATGACAGCACTGTTAATGGTCGCTCTTTTTTGGTTTCGGGCAGAAAATGGTCATCAAGAGGATATATGGATCTGGACATTGATGATTACCCGGAAAACTCTTTGATTGAGAGCATTCGGAAAGACCAAGTTAAGTCGGCACATGTCGAAATGGGGCTTTTCATCTAAGGTTACTTTTTTCCTCGAGAACTTCAAATGAAGAGATGAATCAATTACCGCTTCCAAATTTCATTGAAGTCGTAAACTTGAGCAAGTTTCAGCATTGATAAATTAACAGAGAGAAAAATCATTCTGTGCTCCTAAAATAGGCGATATTATTTGACCACGTCATGTAATCTCTCCTAGCAGATGGTGAAGAAGCAGAGATAAAAGTTTCGAAGAGTTTTAAGACGTATCATGCGCGTTACCAAAAATGGCAAGACAGGAGTTTGAGCAACAACAAGAAAAGAGGATATATGGCCTGAACGATCCCATGCAATGCATCATGTCCGATACTTTCGAGTATACCACCGAAACCAAAGAATCGGCTGTCCTTTGGTCAGAATAAATCCCATTCCGGTTACCCGACGGCTGCTTGGCAATCGGGGACAGACCCAGCCTCGCAGTAAGCAACGTGCTTCTCATAATCATCAACCCCAGGGAGGCCAAGATGTGAATGCTGATGAAGAGGTTGAGTTTTTATATTTGGTCGCAAGTTCCGTCTCATTGGCGAATGTTCGGTTGATAGACTTGGTCGCGGGTCTTGTGAAGAGGGTCCAATAAATTGCAAGGGGTTGTCGAGCTTTCGATCTGGCGTTGAGGTTGGAATTGCGATCGTCCCGACACTGAGCAGGGAAATGAAGAAAATCAAATTCATGGCGTCTTTTCAATTATGCGATCAGCGCTTTGTGATTTGATTTGAGAGGCTCTTTCAATGCAGCTGAGCGATGAAAAGGAAAATGTAGAAGTTTGCAAGCATCCCAAGTGTTATTGTCGGACTTAAGCAGCCCCTCCCCCTCCCTCCCTGTAGTTGCGCTACTAGTGTTGGTTTGTAATATCAAAAGTTGCCGGAGTTAAGATAAAAATAACCGGATAAGGCTTACGCGATGAACCCATGGCTCCAAGGTAATCAAAGACTTGGCGCATTCTTGGCCTTTTGATTTCTCCCCCAAAATACCAATCAATCTAGCACATTGCTTTTTGGCAAAGATGGAAAAGGTCTTTGTGTCGGGTATACTAACTCAATTATCAGGGAACATACTATAATGTATCCGATTCCTAGAATATTGCCGTGGATATCTTGCTCTGTCCAACACCAATGAAGCTCTATACAAACGCAATCAAAAATAATAAAGACGCTCATGGTAATTACAACATGTCTGTCGCATTTATGACCCAGGAAGAATATCATTCCAGATTAAAGGCCGTTCCCCTCGAGATCTTCTCCAACGATTTGTAGAAGCCAGAAGCTCAAGCGAGTCAGGGAGCAGCCATTTCCACTTCTGTGCGAAACCCTCTGTAACTTCCCAATGTTGGGCATCCCACGAGTTTCCCCACACAAGTAAGGTCGCAGCGGTGTTTCTTGTATCCCAAAAAGCCATGAGGTCATGACATAGGTCGTCATCGTCGAAAGAATCACCTTGGGCAGCAAGAATCATGCAGTCGCGCATGCGTGGGAATGGAAAGAAGTCCAGCCAGGGATGATGGGGAATATGTAACTGGATGAATGTCGGTCGTAAACAAGGTGGGATACCCTCGACTGAGAAACTGGGTTGTGCGAGATTGAATATTGATATCGCATCATCGCTCTTCATCCAGGCGGAGGTAATTCCAACTGCAGCAATGTTCTCATTGATGGCTCGATGCACGTTGAGTCGGCTAAGGCTAATAAGGTGGTCTCTGTTCGGCATACCGGACATAAAGCTTTGGTACACTTTCATCTCAAACCATCTACGGAACTCCAAAGCAAATGAAGGCGCTCTTGCGCATTCAAAAGCTTCCGGCCTCTCAAGCTTGAAGGAATCCAGAAGTTGCACTCTAGATGCGGACGGTATAGCGGAAGGGGTAGCAATGATGTCAGCATTCGATACTGCTCAATTATCTTGCTTTCTCAACCCTAGTGAATTGTCAGTTGAGACAAAAATAACTTGGGACGAAAACAGTACATACGGTAGTGCCGCTGATTGAGTCGATTCTGTAATTTTCTTCGTTCTTTCCGACTTATGACTCCAGTCCAATCGTCCCGGACGCCAGCTTGCTGGGGCATCTTGCTGA